CAGAAATCCAGTTTTTAAAATACAAATATGCTTAATATTAATGTTGTGATTTTATTTATATGCAGAGTACTAAGTAATGGAGACTGCTTTGGAGTGACTTACTTTGTCATCACTATCTGTTGCCTGGATCCTGGTCACAAATTGAGTCACAGAACGTGTTTCAAAAATTGTTTCGACATAGTTATTGGGTGAATTCACATTTATCCATACTGGGCTATTCAAGTTTCTGTTAAGAGTCACTCGCAACACAAGGTTTCCTGAACAGCTTGTGACAGTATTCACAGCATCTGTCGCTTGAATCCGTAACTGGGAAAAAAGTACCATATTAAATAATTTGTATATAACAGTTCCTATGTTAAAAATTTGTAAAGATTTCTTCAATTCCCACCCTCTCTCTATATATATTTAATATCAATTTATACAAAGATTCCTATATTATATATACACATATATGGTTTCATTGACCTCTAGAGGGAAACTTTAGACAAACAGAGATTCTGTTTGAATTTTTCTGCCACTTTCTTTTTATTGTTCCTTCTTATATATAAAGAAATGACTGTAGCTACAAACTGAGATTGAGATGGATAGACAGCAGTTCAAATTACCTGATAGACAGTGCCCTGATCTGAGAACAAAGATGGTTCTCTTGTAGAAATCTGTCCAGACTGAGGATCAATTCCAAAGAAGGAGGGAGCACTTTCATCACCAATCAGAGTGTAGCTGACTGTGCTGAATGGGGTATTCTGTAAATAAAAACTTATCAATCATGTCCATTCCTTACCCCCCTCCCCCCCCCCTTTACTAGATAGTATGCAAAAATAAATCCTTTAAAGTTAAGCTCATACAAAATAAAGGCTGTAATTCTCACTTACAGCTGCATCTGGATCCGTTGCATTGGCATCATAAATCATACGACTCAAAGAGGACTGGTCAATAGAAATGGCCACAACCGAAGGTGTGAATGTTGGACAGTTTCTGTTTCTCAGGACAGTCACTCTTACAGTAGCCAGGTTATTGCTGGAGCGTTGAGGAGTTCCTTTGTCATTGGCCCTCACAGACAACTATTAAGAATTAATTCAATCTTTTTGAACAACTCATACTATTAATATTTTTCAATTGCCAAGGTTTTATTTGGTAGTTCTAGATCAGACATGGCAGGATAAGAAAGCCTATCAGAATGGAGCTATATCTAAACTGCTCGTACAGAAACTTATCACGGACTAAAAAATTGAATTAACAAAGAACTATAATAGTGTCTTTTTAATCATAATGAAAAAATTGTGCACCTCTGATCTGCCATAACCTTCACATATATATTACCATTATTCTTATTTCTTTAAGCCTAGAGTTTTTAAACATATCTGGGAAGTTTCAGAACTTGGTAAATGTCTTTCGTGATAAGAAATCTTACGGTGTACAGGCCTGTCTTGGCTGAGTCATCTGTGAGTGGTATTCTGACATAAATTCTTCCCTCTGTGTCAATCCGGAAGTAATTCTGAGCAAGTGCATCACTCACAATTTCATATGTAACTTCATTGTGTGGAGCCTGTTTAACATAAACCAATAAATAGTTTTACTTCAATTCTTTCACTCTAAATGCAAGTATAAGCTAAAAGAGCTTCTACATACAGATTTTACAGGGTTTTTTTTATGAATTACATGTAATGAACCCTAGAACAAATTGCCTAAATTCAACAGATTTAAGATCTTTAGAATACTATTTTCTATTCAATTCTTGCCTTAGTATCATTGTCCAGGGCTAAGACCTCCTCCACCAAAACATTGAGGGGCTGAGTTTCCCAGATTGTAACAGCATAATCCTGCTTCACAAATTCAGGACTAAGAAGATTGCGATTGACATTGACGGTAAGAATTTTCTCATCATACCTCGGTGGGTTTCCGCCATCAGTAGCTCTGAATGCCAGCTGTAAAGATGATAAATAAATAATTACAAACTTGTATAGAAAATTAGAGAAAAAATATATGAATTGTTTACTGATTGATTTAGTGAATGAAATCTTACCCTGTAGGTAGAGGCTGTGTCAGCCTGAACAGTCTGTCTCAGACTCACAAGGCCTGTTGAAGGATCTACTTGGAAATACACAGTTGCTGTACCATCGCCCACCAGGGAGTATGTGATGTCATTGAAGGGACTCTGGAATGAATTTATACAAAATTTTGAAGCAAATTTAGACAGAACACTTTGCTTATAAACCTTTATAACATTGTTATATGTAAAGTCCAGAATCTGTTTAAAGAAAACATTATCAACAACAAGAATAAAAAAGAACAAATGAACAAACAACAAAAAGAAATTATACTCACCACTGAATCTGCATCTGTGGCAGTGACTGTGAAAAAGCCCTGTCCTATGGGTCGATTCTCATTGATGGGAATAATTGTGGGAATATTTTGGAAGATAGGGGCATTGGCATTGCGATCTACATCTACTGTGACCGTTATTGAATTTGAGAGAGGATTTAAGCCTTGATCTGTGGCAGTGACGGTCATCTGTTTAAAAGACAAGAATCAACTTCAGAATCATAAAACTTGTCATTAAGACCTTATCTATTCTTGAGAAAATACAATGATCTTAATACTGAATATATACACGTACAATCCCTTCATTTAAAAACAATCTACTAATAAAAATAAATAAAGTTATATGTGTTTACTTAACAACATAAGCAATAAAATAAGATCATTGTTATCTGAAACATAACCAGATACTGTTTTTTTTACATGGTTCAGAATCATGCATAAAAGAACTATCTCGAAGTTTGTCTTTTCATACCTGATATCTATCAGATCTACATGGGGCATACAGGAGGGACCGTCTCAAAGACAGACTTCCTGTCACAGCATCAATAAGGAAACACTCAATGTCCTCGGGTCCAGCTGTCAGGGAATATCTCACAACATTGTTTGGTGCCTGTAAATGAAAAAATATTACACATAACAATGTAATCATTTTATAAACACAAAAATCTATTATAACTGTTATAAATTGCTGTATTTTTTCATAATATCCAAAAAATAATTAATAATAAAATCTGTTGAAAATACCTAATTATTTAACTTTCTCTTTAATTCATAATAATCATAAAATCAAGCAAAGCAAATCTATATTTTGTAAAAAAAAAATCTTATCTCCATACCAATGCATCAGTATCATTTGCAGTCACTGCAATAATCTGTTGACCAAGGCTCTGTGTTTCTGGGATTCGTGCAGCATATGAAAGTCGATTAAAAACTGGACGTTGATAGTTGCTTTTCACTGTCAGGGTTACCACTGTAACATTGGTTTTGCTGGGACTTCCTTGGTCATAAGCCTCAACTCTTACCTTAGATGAAAATTTTAAAAAATAGACTTTCGTAAAAAGATAAAAAAAAAAATCCTTTTAAAAATTGCTGTCATTGATTCATTCAACTAAACTATCTTATTCCAAACCAGTGTTTCTTGCAACACTTAAAAGTCAAAGCACTGTTTACTCTCACAATTTTAAAGCATTAATCCATTAACATTTACCTTAAACTGATCTTGATTAACACTGCTCAAGACATTCCTAACAGTAATCAAACCAGATGTGGGATCAATCTGGAAATAGGTTGGTGCCAGGTCGTCACCAGTGATTCTGTATCGAACTAAACCAAACTGACCCTGGTCATTATCCCTGGCTGTAACCTGTAGAACACTGGCTCCTGTCTGAATATTTCCCTCCAGGTCCTTGGAGTACGGGTCATTGATAAAATAAGGGGTGTGGTCATTTCTGGCCACATAAACAGTGACAGTGGCTGTTTTAACCCCAGTAGGTGTCAGGGGAGGATTTCCTCCATCTTGTAGAGAAACAGTCCCCTAAAACATATTACATTTTAGCCAATGCAAAAATTTACCTCAGAAATATGTTATTCAATATTTTGTGGAACTACATCTAAAAGATTTAATTCAATATACAGTGTACCTTGAATGAGAATTGCTAAAATTCTAAAATTTGTCTTACTGTGAAAGTTCTCTTGCTTGAAAGTGTCAAAGGTCGTTGAACTGACAATCTTCCATCCTCCGTGAGTCTGAAAAATTGCAGCATGTCAGCATCCCCTGTTAAAGCTGTAATTCTTGTATTGTATGGAGTCTGAAAGGGAAGAAAAACAGATCAATGCAGAACTTAAAATGCACTGAGAAAACTTCTTACTGTTGCAAATTTTTGATTTTTCAAGACTAGTCACAGTGAAATTAATCCATTTGAAATTAATTAAAACCTATTCCAACCTCAACATCAGCATCCCTTGTATTCATGTTGGCAATAGTGACTCCCAGATCCTGAGTCTCTGTAATGTTGACAGTATAAGAAGTGCTGACCCACTCTGGATTGTTGAGATTTCTGGCAATGGTGACAATTACTGTAGATGTGGCAGATAGACTGGGAGTGCCTCCATCTCTGGCCTCAATCAGAATCTAAAACAAAATCAGCTGATTATACTTTACGTAAGAAAACATTAAATCTTTTGTTTCCCTTTACACCTATTCTACATCACTTCATATTTCAGCTTTCATTCTAAAATTGGTAATTGACATAACTAAAAGTGTAGGGATTAGAACACATTAAGGAAAGAATTTTCTTTTCAACTGAGAAAAACAAAATCTTACTGAAGACGTTTCCACATTGTTATTGAGCAGACTCTGACGAGTAGTGATCAAACCACTGGCAGCATTAATGCTGAACAAAGTTTGTGCTGTAGCATCACCAATGATCGAGTATGTCACAACATTGTGGGGACTCTGCAAAATAAATGTTTACATCAAATTTTGTTGAAATAATAAACAGTTAAAGAGTATTTTAAAATAAAACCAGTTAACTCAAGGAGGCAAATTTACCTGTGCATCAGCATCTGTTGCATTGACTTGTTTGACTGTGGTACCACTGACACTGTTAAAGTTAAGAGTAGCAGTGTAAGGTATTCCTTGGAAGACAGGTGGAAATAAGTTTCGGTACACAGTGATCCTCACTGTAGCTCGGTCCACAGAAAACTGGGTAGGATTTCCATTGTCACGAGCCAAAACGGAAAACTGAAAGGAAAAGATTATTCAATCAAGCTGTTTAAGCTAAAACAAACTGTTCAAATTGTTGATAATATATGCCTGAAATTATATGAACACTAAATTTTCTTCAAGTTTGCTAAATTGAAATTTCAATTGACAATTATTAAATCATAACAAAACTTAGTACAGACTTTCCCTGCACATAAGTAGAGAAAATGTGACAGGAAAATTACATGTACACTTTTAGAATACTAACCGTGTATACTGGTGTGTCTTGATTGTCAGTATACAAGGGCAGAACAATGGATATAATGCCCCTGTTGTTCTCAGATCTTATGCTGAAGAAGTTCAAACCAGCTCCATTCAGGTTTGGTGTGGTATCTGTCATCTCATAGGTGATCTCATTATTAGGCCTCTGAAAGAGTTAGTAGCAATCCAAATTTACATAAATATTTCTGTGTTAACAAGTCAATTAGATGTACTAGAAAACATATCAGACAAAAAAGGCTATTATATCCAACACTGAATAAAACATAGTACCTTTTCAAGTATTTTCAACAATTCATATCATATACATGTGCATTAATAGATTTCATTTATAACTTAGGTAATCAAAATGTAATCAGCAAATACTTTAATTCAATGATTTATGCATTGGATTCTAAAATAGTGACCATTCTATACACACAGGTGATCTACGAAAAAGTATATGACAGATTGATATTCCTCTAAATGGCAAATTTCTGGAAAAGAAAAAAAAAGCCCTTTGAAATGACTTACAATCTGATCAGCATCAGTGGCAGTAATAGTAATGACATTCTGTCCCACTTGCTGAGTCTCATAGATAGAGATGCTATAATCCCTCTGGCTGAATACTGGAGGATTAAGATTTCTTTGGATGTTGATGGTTGCAATGGCGGTGGCTGATCGTGCAGGAGAGCCTCCATCCTCAGCCACGATACGACCCTGTCCAAACAAAAAAATTCACTTTGAATTGGTAACACTCATATATATAAAACATGTATACATATCTAAGAAATCTTGGCCATAGTGGTTGATGCTTTGCATGTGATTTTCTCCCAGACAGAAACAATGATAATAGTACATCTTTTTCTTATGTAACAAGATCTACATGTATCTAAATAATTAGTACAACTAACAATCAATAAATATTGTTACCTGATAGGAGGCCACATCTTGCGAGGTCAGGGGTCGGCGAACTGTGATATTTCCAGTGTTTGTATCAATGCTGAAGAATTGCTGGAAATCTCCATCTCCTATTAGTTTATATCTTAGTTGTCCATATGGTGATAACTAAAGAAAAAAAAGTTAATAGAGTTAAATATTAGAATTTCTACTTAAATAAAGCAATTTTATTTGCATGAGAAAAGGGTACTGAATAATCAAGGTACTGTAAACCAATTATTATTAAATGCAATTTGACAGATTGAGATCCATCTGTGATATTAATTTTTGAACGCAGAAGTAATTGTACATAAATGCAAAATTACATAAATGGTCTGGGCAAGAAATATTTGAGAGAATGACCTGCAGTTATTTCTCGTTATACATTAGAAAGCAACTTAAACTGCAGTTGTAGATGAGGTGGAAATTAACTTAAGTGGCTTTTAAAATAAACTTTATATCTATATTCCATTTCTTCAATTCAAGACAAATTATAATTTTATAATTTTTTGTACACTGAAAAACATTTTATGAAATCTTTAAAGCCAAAAGCAATCAGTTTCATGGCAATATCCTCCTCCAGTAAGAAATCTTACATTTGAATCTCCATCTGTGGCAGTAACTGTTAGAACTCCAGAATTAATAGGTGTCGTTTCTGGAATATTAGCTGTAAAAGGCCCAGCAAAAATAGGTGCATTGTCATTCCTGGTAATAGTTATTGTAACAGGAGCAGCAACTGCTGAAGATCTTGGTGAAATTCCATTGTCCCTCAGACGTACTTGAAGCTAAACAATATAAAATTTGTGACTTTTTTGTGCATTCTACGAACAGATGTACAAAAAAATGCCTTACTGAATTTTCAAAGTTCTTTTGGAGACAATAACTTTTACGTCAGTATCTTATACAGAAAGGTAAATGATTCAAAAAATGTTTACAACATAAAAATCTATTTTCTACACATGCAGACAAATAATGATATTTCAGCATCAGATTTATAATACTGCAAATTATTTTCATCATACGTACAGTGAAGGTTTGTGTAGTGGTCTCAGTAAGTGGTCTGGACACGGTCAGAAGTCCAGTGGCTGGATTCAAGTAGAAGAAATTGGTGCCTTCTACAGGATTGCTGGATTCCAGTATGTACTCAATAGTGTGCTGAAGGAAAAAACTGCTTAATTTTTGGACAACTAAGAACCTGCCAAGACTAGTGATTTAAATGTTTTATTAAAGAAAATTTCATGTAACCTAACTTCACCATGATTCTAAAAAAAAAAAAGAGAAATTACACTATAGTTAGTCCTCACCTGATCGGCATCCTGACCACTGATCTGCACCAGACTGACGGCAAGTGGGTAACTTTCATTGATGGTTCTACTGTAGGAGGGGCTGGTGAAGCTTGGGGCATTAGGATTACGGTTGACGGTGATGGTGACATTAGCATAAGCCTTGTCGTTGGGATAGTCACTATCATAAGCTGTCAGACCAAGCTGCAAGTTATATAGTCTCAAATATAGCTCTAAATCTACAGAAAGTTACTTTCAAAACAGTTCTTTTCTAGTTCATGTTCAGTTCATATTTGGTACATCAATAAGATAACAAATTTATATTTTTTTCTGATGATCAAAATTCTGGTCATTAATGGGATGTTAATTATAAAGTCTAGCTGAGTTTTCATTTAGATTAAGCTGCTGTAGCAAAAATAAACCCAAAGGTTTTAATGGCATTTCTGATCTCACTCATAAATACCCACAATTAAATCAGAAGAACATGGGAGAATACAGCGCAGGAAATATACACTCTGTAACTCTAATTATGTAATGGTCAAATTCAGTTTTTCAACCTCTACGTTGAAAGCAATGTTTGTTATGTGTCATTTATAAGGTATGACACCATGCCAAACAATACTTTTTAATGAAAAGTTTTGTGTTTGAAAATCATTCTGCAGTAAAAAGGTTAGAAAATGCATCAAATATATGGTGGGGACGGAAATGAACAATAAAAATTCTTACTAACAGTTTGTCATTGAGAAAGACTAAACATTGAGCCATAAAACTCATAACAAGTATTGGCATTTATATCTTTTTCCAACATGATCCTTGAATATACAAAGAGCAAATATTTTTAAGTAATATGCCAAACTTTTGTCCTAAATCCTAACTGTCTGACTATAGGCACTTTTCTCGACTTATTCATCCATGTTCTTCAAGATACATGTACATGTATGTAATCAATTTAAAAGATCTGCTGAATCACAGCTGTTGTACAATGAAAATTAATTGAACATTCATAGAAATTAATATAATTTATGCACGAACATCCTTGACTTACATAATTTTGGTGACTGCCTCATTATCAGATATTTTTGTTTTTATGTTTCCAGGTGTAACAAGTAAAGCTATCTGTGCCATCAAATGTTGCAAAAACTTACAGTGTATGATGTTGCTGTGTCACTGGCTAAACTAGCTATTAGACTAACTTCTCCATTGGAATTCACACTGAAATATCCTGGAGCTGACAAAAATCCAATAACTTCATACACAAGTGTACCCTGAAAAAAAAAAATCCACAACTTTCTTATTGTACAGTAACAATACAAGTCATTACAGTATTTTGGAAGCCTTAATTTTTTACTCTACAATTTTCAATCTCTTAATATTTTCCTGAGATCAAAAGTGTATGGAATGATTTTAATCTAATTGTCAAATATTTATAAGTAGTATATGGATGTATCAACATTCAAGGATATCATAAATTTAAGTGTAAAGGTTATACAATAATATTATACTCCACAAAATATAACGCATTCATGGAAATGAGATTTTAAAATCTATCTGTAAGAATTAGTTTTCTACACTACAAAGATAGAGAATTCATGACAACTATATGATGCAACTTGGTCCACATACAGATAGATCTGGATCAACTGCAGAGGTAGTTAGCACTTGTCCCGGAGCCTGGTTATAATCAATGCCTGTTCCATACTGCTGTCTAAGAAACGATGGAGGGCTAGTGTTTCTTCTTACTGTGATCTCCACCCGGGACTGTCCAAATTTCTCTGGTTTGGACTGATCACGAACTCGCACAGTGAACTGTAAAAGATCATGATAAGTGTATCTGCATTGTACACATAAGAAGCTTCACAAATAGTTTGTTCAAACCTTCAGATACTTTTCATGTGAATTCTCTCTTTAAACAATACACTTAATAAGCAGTAAATTTTTCAAATGCATATTGAGAAAGCTTTTTTTTATTTTAATAAAATTTAGAATAAATTTTTCATCAATGAACTCAAAGTTTACACATAAATTTCCATTTCTAGTGTTTTTGTCTTACTATGTATGTTGTTTTTGATGTGCCAGCTAAAAGCTGCCTAAGGGTAATGACTCCTGTGCTGGCAGCCATGTAAAATGGTTCCGTCTCCCCAGTTTGTTCAATGATGGAGTACAAGAGAACATCCTGCATAAACAAAATACTTCTGTGTACACATGCAAATAGAGGTACATGATGAATCTCATTCACCACAGATCAACAACATCAAAAAAACTCATCATCCAAATAACCGAAACATCTAAAGAAAAATGTGTCGATAGAACTATCTTTATAATACTGTATAATTATTTATCTAAGGGATACTACCATTAATTTTTCACCTTCCTTTTTTCATTTATTAATGTATTATACTGGACTTGTGAGACTTAAATTGAAACACAATGATTTCATGAAATCAATATTCTGTTCTATTCCTACCTGGGTATCGAGGTCGGTAGCAAACACTTGTACGACAGACCGTCCCAGGTTGTACTTCTCATCAATAGTTGCTCTGTACACTGTGGCGTTGAATACTGGAGGATTGATGTTTCTGGCCACCGTCACATTTACTGTGTTTTCTACTGACTGCAGTCCATTAGGGAACTGTTTCTCTGCTCTCACTAGTATCTGTACAAGGAAAAAAAATACAAATACAGATACTGAATTTTATTCTAGAGAAAGAAAAATTAATAAATGAACTTTAAAAATAATAAAAGTCCATCTTCTGTAATCAACAAGAAACTACTGTATACAGGGAAATTTTCGCCCGTTTTATTTTCACCTTTTTTGCCCTCATCGTAAGTAGGCAAATTTAAAACAGGATGAATTCAAGGAAGAAAGCATTATCTCTTTAACGCAACTGTTTTGAGGTGAACTTAAAACAGGGCAAAATTGTTTGTGAGTGTGAAAGGGCAAAAAATAACAAGAGGCAAAAATAACCCTGTATACATAACCACATGTAGAAGTACCCACCAAATATGTTGTTCTCTTGGACAAATCAGTGCGGAGGTCAGTTTTCACAGAAATAGCACCAGTTGTTTCATCAATTTTGAAGTAATCTGGACTATCACTATAGCCAACGATAGAATATTTGATGTTAGGCTGAAAAAGAAGACAGTTTGTTATCTTTACCATCATTTACAGAGATTGCCATATATTAATATCTACAATATATACACCAGTACACCAGAAAGGTGTCATATGCATAACTATTAACTAGTTTTAACATTAAACAGCTACTTTAAGAGGGAACCAGAAGTCTCTGACGAGACTGTAGCTCTACTGGTTGTATTTATAAAGGAAGATAAAAGTAGAACTTTGACTTGAAACTTTGCAACAGCAATAAACAGAATAATGATCCTTGGTTTAGTCTCTTTTGTGGCAAGATTTATTATTATATCAGACTAAAACTGTAGGAGGAGTAGCCTTTTAAAACAATTTTACAGAAATTTTGATTTAAGTAACCATGGCAACATCATTCAACAAAATCAAAAAACAATAACTCCAATTATGTATCTCTGTAGTCTACTTGTATGCCACATTATACTGAAATCAGAGAAAAAGTGTAGGAGGAGTAGCGTTTTGAAAGTATTTCAAGAAAATTTCTACTTTTAGTAACCATGGTAACACCGTTCATTGAAATCTAAAGCTGGTACAGAGAATTATGTATCTTAGTGTAGTCTAATTGTGTGCTAAGTTATACTAAAATTAGACAAAAACTGTAGGAGGAGTAGCATTTTGAAGGTATTTCAAGGAAATTCCTATTTTTAGTAACCATGGCAACACCGTTCATCGAAATCCGAAACTGGTACAGAGAATAATGTATCTTAGTGTAGTTTACTTGTGAGCTAAGTAATACTAAAATCAGACCAAAACTGTAGGGTAGCATTTTGAAGGTATTTCAAGGAAATTTCTATTTTTAGTAACCATGGCAACAATGTTCATCGAAATCAGAAAATCAATATAAAGAATTATGTATCTTAGTGTAGTCTACTTGTTTGCCAAGTTTTACTGAAATCAGACCAAAACTGTAAGAGGAGTAGCATTTTGAAAGTATTTCACAGAAATTTCTATTTTTAGTAACCATGGCAACACCGTCCATCGAAACCAAAAACCGATAAACAGAATTATGTATCATAGTGTAGTCTACTTGTGTGCCAAGTTATATTGAAATCAGACCAAAACTGTAGGAGGAGTAGCATTTTGAATGTTTTTCACAGAAATTTCTATTTTTAGTAACCATGGCAACACCGTTCATTGAAATCAAAAACCGATACACAGAATTATGTATCTTAGTGTAGTCTACTTGTGTGCCAAGTTATACTGAAATCAGACCAAAACTGTAGGAGGAGTAGCATTTTGAAAAATTGTTTACAGTCGGACGGACAGACAGACAGACGGACGACGGACACCTTACTATCGCATAAGCTCTTCTGGTCTCTGACCAGTAGAGCTAAAAACCTACCAAAATAACCTATATTTTGGCCATTTCTTTTTCCTTTTTCTCCATCAAAAATATGATAATGATATTCCTTTTATGATCAAATAACCCTCATTTCAGTTGTTGGTTGGCAACCATAGTCATGTGTGGTTTTTCGAAAACTTATGGTTACAAAACCTTCATTTACTTGTGTACAAAATATCATTCAGAAAGATTTTTCCATAATGTCCTGACATAAAATAACGTCCTGACCTAACAGACAAGTCTACTCTAACAATATTTTATGTCTACCTGCAGCAGTCACCACTGGGACCCATGGTATAAATATAAACAAAAAACCAAAACTCACCTGAGGAGTAGCAGTAACAGTAATGAAACTACGATCAACAGGATCATTCTCATCAATGCTGGCAGTGTATTGTTGTAATTGTGTGAATCTTAGAGTGTCATCAATTGTTACGTCAACAGTCACCGTAGCTTCTCCTCTCTGTGATGGTGTACCCTCATCTGTAGCAGACACCCTGAACTGGGAAACAAAAAATAAGCAATGAATTAAATGTTTAAATCACAATGTAAAGTAACCTATAGACGACATAATGACACATTTGATTTTTCAAAAGTTTCACAGGAGAAGTCAAAAATGTATATTTGTTATATTATAGTTATATAACATTAAGAATCCTGACTGAATGCACTTACTATAAATTGTTGTATTCCTGTTCCCTTTATTGACTGCTTGAGAGAAATTCGGCCGGAGTCTGGGTTTATATAGAAATAATTATCTGCATTTGTTCCTGATACAATACTGAACTTAAACTGGTTGTTTGGTGCCTAAAAGCAAAACAAATTGATCTGTATTCATTATATCATTCATATACATAGGTGTCTTGTTTTTGAAAATGTTTTGATATAACTTCTCTTAATAAAACAAAATTTGTCTATAGGTGATGAAGATCAAAATAAATTCAAGCAAACATCGTCAACTAAAAGCAGACTAAGTTTACTGAATTATAGTTGAAGACCAAATTTAAAAAAAAAAAAAATAGAGTAATCTCTTTTGAAGAATAAAGTCAATCTTCCTTAATATGATAAAAAAAATTAATTTAAAAAAAATTAAAATTAACCCTATCTAATTTATAGCAACTGACAAAATGTATGTAATATGCGAGGAAACCCGCACACAGTCTGAGGAATGCTGATGTTAACATTTTTACGTTGTCTCTGAATAAAAGGTACATTTACACACCTGTGGGTCACTGTCTGTGGCTGTTACTGTTACAATTTCACTTCCAACAGGGAAATTCTCTATAATAGTCTGGCTGTATGTAGCAGGGTTAAACTGGGGTGCAGCAAGGTTTCTATTTACAGTAATGTCTACTGTTGCTGTGGCAGTTTTCTTTGGTGAGCCTCCATCTTCTGCCAATAATCGCAACTGTAAAAAAAAAAAGTGTCCTTTATTGGCATTTATTATTAAATAAGGGATCAAAGTCCATAGTCAACAAATTCCACAAGAGGATATAAAAGTCTGTCTCTGAAAATTTTTCACATTTTCTGTAAAATTTGAAATGGAAATGAAAAAGAAAGCCTTCTACTTTAGGAAAAAAAGGTTTTGGCTTCCTACCTTGTAAGTATTAGCAGTGTCTGCTGCCAAATTGGCTGCATTCTGAACCCGAATGTTGGATCCATCCAGTCTGAATAGACTCGCTGCTGAATCATCTCCAATCACTGTCACTGTGACGACATTGAAGGGGCTCTACACAAAGAACAATTATTAAACACGTTAAAATACCACAACCTCATGTGAAAGTTGAAGTTTGTTGTAACAAAATTTGTGACACCAAGACTTAAAAAAAATAACAAACTTGGCCAACAGTTTTGTAGCATACATATATAATTTTTTCATTCACATTCATCATGTGTTACTTACCACTGTATCAGCATCAGTGGTTGCTACATTAACTCCAGGTATGGCAGAGTTGTCTTGGACAGACCTTGTTATACTGGATCTGTATGGTGTGTTTAGGAACACTGGAGGCTGAGAATTCCTGTTGACTTGAATGGTCACTGTAGCAGTGTTTGTTCCAGTTAATGACGGGGTACCATTGTCTCTTACACTCACAGTAAACTGTCCAATGCATAAAAGTAAACCATATGAAAATACTGGAAAATAGTGAGGTGTCTTAAATTTTATTGGTTGTATCAACTTGTGCTCTAAACAAAACGTCTGATTTTTTCATGGATACATCTACAATTATTTGTCTTAGAATAAAGCTGTTTTGACACCATCTTTTTTTTTTTATAGGATTTTCACTCACAGTGTAGGTTTGTGTGGTTGCTGTATCATCTCTTAGATCTTTGTATAGGGAGATAACTCCTGTACCAGGATTAACTTGGAAATACTGTAGACCTAAAGCATTTCCAGTGAGGGTGTAGGTAGGTACATTATTTGGTGCCTGAATAAAAAGATTGGTAAATGAAATACCGTAAGTTTTGGGGTATATGTCGATGGGGTGTATAGGTCGAAAGGTTCATTTTCAGCCGTAATTTTTAAAGAATCCTTAGATAGGACGAATTTGGAAGATAAGACGAGGCTTTGTTTATCGATTTCTAGAGATTCTTACGTAGATACTACGTATCAGAACATGTAAACCTCTTTAACTTAACCCGTGATATTAACGTATTGAGAAAAAAACTAGTATTTTTATGAGTACAGTATTTCAATATTTTCTCCAACTTGCCTGTTCAATGCCGTCGTAGTTTGACTCTTTCGTTAAACACATAAATACGGTAGTATAAAACAGCTATAATTAGGGAAACATCCGAAATCAAACAATAATCATTTCCATTTTAGAACATCTTGGACACATTCTTTTATTCCGACATTATTTACCGGGGTAAAAAATTAACTTCGATGACCGCCATTTTTATATTTTGTTGTCCAGGGATTTGCTAAATCACGCAAATGACTATTACATGTGACAGTGCGCAAATGAAATTAATCATATTTTAAAACATGCTATAATTTTCCATGTGATATTGTTGTAAAAAATAAATTTAATTGAGAGTACATTCGCAATTTAACAGTCATCAAGAATTTCACAGTTTTGTTTGTTAAATGATGTATAGCACTAATACCCCTGTAACGGCACGTGGATCTGTTAATCATGCCCCGCAGGTGTTTTAACCAACACAGGTGTTAACACCTTTGTGTACACAGTGTATATCCCTTTATCTGTCAGACAATTAAAATTCTATTAGAAGCCAATCTCTGTATAATTCAGTGTACCTCTTGGGTACGAGGAAGCTTTCAATTCCATCATTTAAAAAAAATGTTTATTTTCTAAAACAAAAAAAAAACCAAAACAAAAACAAAAACCAAAAAAGTGAATAAAAAATAACGTATCGTTAATAAATGAATTTATAACTTCCAAAAACGTGTAATAGTATATTCAAGACAAGTTCGTTTTATTATAATTAATTAAGATATAAAACAAAAGAGTTATTACTAGCGGTATGTTTGGTAAATAAATTTAGGAATTTACTGGCAACAATTTACTTCACGCATTTTACATTTAAATAAATATCACAAGACAATGAACAAATATTTAGGCATACTATTTCAATTAATCGTTACAAATAAATGGTAAAAAAAAAAAGATTACAATTGCGATTGTGAAAACTCTTCCGTATTTTAAATTTTGATACGGCTGCGGTTTTCTTTTTAGTAAACGATTGCGACTTCCAACTTCACAAGATGGACACAGCATGTTGTAAATATACTTTGAGACATTAATTACTAGATGATATACCGGTAATAAGTTTTTTTTTTTGTACATCGACGGATATTTAATGGAATTTATTTTGTAAGAAATCAATCGAATAAATATTTAATTCTTTATTGTTTATTATATTTTTCTCGGTAAAATAATTTTTAAAAATACGAAAATGGCACAGATTTGCTTTAAAATTTACGTAAATTTTACTGATTTGGAGGCATTTTTCGTAAACTTGAGCCTTAGATAGGTCGATTCGTTAAATAGGACGACCCCAGCGGTTCTGAGAAAAAAAGTATCGTCTTATCTTCCAAAACTTACGGTAGTCAGAAAGAATATCAACAGATGTAACACTGTAATTTGTTTCAAGATAAGGTAGAAGACATTATACCACAAAAAAAATACTTTAATACTTTTGAAATTAAATTTATGTCTCTCATTGGTTCTGCATCTGACAAAATCATTTACATGTTATTTAACAAAATACTGAAAGCAAAGATTATAATTCATGTACTTACTGTTGTATCTGCATCAGTAGATGTCACTTGTAGTATGCTGGCCCCTAAAGTCTGAGTTTCAGAAATCGTTTGTTGATATTGAGTAGGAATGAAACTTGGATTAAACAGGTTCCTTGTAACATTTACCAGGAGTACACCCGTGGACGATCGTCGAGGTGTTCCAAAGTCCCTCACACGCAATCGAACCTATTGACAGTTACAACAGAAAAACTCATTCACCCTCAGAAATCATTCCATGGTAAATGTCATTTTGTACATCTTTCAGGGGTCACCTTTTAATTGTTTACATGTATATGCCAAACTTTCTACTTCCATCAATTTGTGGATTCAAAGTAAAATTTTTTGATGATATCTCAGTGCAATAAATGCATCTTACAGCATCTCACTGGAAAAACTTAATTGTTTGAAACAGTTTTTAATTTTGTTTTACCCTATACTGCTCTGATGGATCATTAGTCAGTCCTGTCGTGGTAAAAATTCTTCCTGTCTGATCAACGGTAAACAATCCAGTGGCTGCATCATCTCCAACAATATCATACTCCCGACGCTGGAAATCATTCTAGCAATATACAGAAAAAAAATAGTTTAAAAAATGAGTCTCATTTCTATGTTTTATACATAAGAAATTGTGAAACAAAAGCATTTTAACATTTTTACCCCCTTCCTCCTCCCCCCCCCCCCCAAAAAAAAATTCTCTGCATATGAACTTACAACAGTGTCAGCATCAGTTGAATTAACAGTGTAAACAGTTGAACCCTGTGCAGTATCTGCTCGGATTGTTACGCTGTTTGGCAGGTTGCCAAATAAGGGGTCGAAGTCATTTCTTTGGACAGTGATGGTAAGAGGAATTTCTGGACTGGTTCTCTGAGGAGAACCAGAGTCGGCAGCTTGGACTCGGAACTATAAATAGAAAACGGAGAGTAAAGTAGTAATCATGATACAGGATTATGTACTCCAACACAAAGAAACAATGAATAAATTCTCATTCAAATATTTCTCACATCATTTATCAAATAAACATCAAATAAATGGCAACAGCAAAGAACAAATAAAAACTCTTTTTTTGTTTCTATTCAAATGATCGAATGAAATTGGAAAGCAAATAAAACAGGAATGTGGTGAGATTGAAATATTACAGTATAAGTCTTTGTTTCTTCTGTCGTCAGGTCCTTTCTAATGCTAACATCTCCTGTGGTAGGATTGATTAAAAACCTCTCAGAAGGTGTAGCTGCAGTGAAATAGTACTGAACTACATTGTTTGGACTCTGAAAATGAAATACATACATGTATATGTTACATTTATATTTAATATCTTTACCAAAACCCTCAACGGCTTTTAGAAAATCCAACTTTATCTGGTCACCTCTGACTTGAGTAGAATTGAAGAAAATATAATTTCTGAATATCTCACTGGACTACAATGTACAAATTTGATGGCATGAAGTAGCCAAATCCTAAATCTAACAATGATAGAGCAATTACTTAGATGAATTCATGAGTTAAGAAATGTTATTATTATATAAATTAGATTGAAATATATAATTTTTGATTACTGGTAATAGTGAGAAAAATCTATAATAGGAAATTTTAAAATATCCACAATAAGTAGAAAATAAGACAAACTAACGGCATAAAAAAAGTTAAAAGTTGTTTGTTCCAAAATTTTAAAATTTGTTAAAAAAAATTGTATATTTGTTTTATATGGCTAAGAATGACTATAAATAAATACTCTTTTAAAATGGTTAGAATTAAAAATAAAACTTTGCTTCCATGTTTTTGGTCTATTTCATAGAGATTTAACTGAATGTTATATACAGGAAAAGTATTTTAGACTTCATACTTACTGCAAAATCTGAATCTGTAGCAACAAGTCTACCAAAAGAAAATCCTATAGCTCTGTCTTCCCTGACAGTCATGGCATAGCTACCCTGTGCAAAACGTGGAGCCTCAAAGTTTCTTTGCACAGTTAGAGTCAAAGTACTGACAGCTTCTTTACTTGGGCTGCCACCATCCTGCACTCGCACCCTCAACTGTAAAACAAATACAGGCACATAACTTACACTACACTTGTAGGTGGACTGGTGTTTGTAAAAGTTAATTAATGAAATAAAATAAAAATTAATAAATAGCATGGGATTAAAGTATTACCGTGTACAGGGTTGTGGTTCCTTGGAAAACTGACTGCTGCAGGGTGATTGCCCCTGAGTTAGGATTTATGGCAAATACACTACGAGAATCTCCATCCCCTGTTAGAGAGTATGTTAGCTGTCCAAACACACCCTAAAATTAACAAAAACAATGAATGCAAATTATATATTTTCTAAAATCCATATTCAAATAAAGTCGAGAAAAAAATTTGTGCTGCTACATTGATACTCTAAGAGAGATAACTCTTCATAGGATAATTGTAAATTTGTCAATTTTTTTTTTTTTTGAAAACCAATTTTGTCTAGCAAGCTATGTTAAAATTGTCTGCATTTTATTTTGGCAAGTTTTAAAACAACATTTTAGTTCAGTGAACAGAGGAGTCATAAACCTTAAACTGAGTGAAAGACTGGTTCATATTTCATAAACAGAGTGAATGTGGTCACTTACAGGGTCAGGGTCTGTTGCAGCAGCTGTGTAGACTGTAGCTCCGACTGAAGTATTGTGATTGATCAGGCTTTCTCTGGGTAGATTGGTGAACACTGGAGCATTGGTGTTTCGAATCACCGTCACTCTTACACTGGCTGGGAGTGTTGCCTGAAGGCCACCACCGTCCACTGCATTTACATTGAACTACAAAAAAGATCAATTTAACTGTGATAAATATCTCCAGGAATAATTAACAGGAGGTATACAGTAAAACTCGGTTATAACGAAGTCAGTGGGATCTGTGAAATTACTTTGCTATATCCGTAATTCATTATATCCGTATAAGGAATTCGTAAAATTTATATAGCTGGGGATCCAAGAAAACTTCGCTATATCCATGAATTCGCAATATCCGTGTTCGTACTAAACAAGTTTTGCTGTATTCTCAACTTTAATCATTGATAAAAAATATCTAGAATTTTAAGGTGCTGCAGCACATAAACAATTATTCTTCATTGACCTCTTTCATTTTTTCCACAAAGTAAATTTAAAAAATTCAAGATGTCTAACTATGAACATGAAAAAACAATTACTGTATAATCCACGGTTCTTGCATTATCCAGCATGGGTGACTGACGAAGACTTATGTTTCCTGTGACTTCATCTACCATAAAATACTGAGCACCAAGAGCACTTCCAGCATCAGAGCTAATGGAGTATCGCACTGTATTGTATGGGGCCTGAAAATAAAAGAAAATCTAAATTTACATCTTAAAAAAAAAAAAAAAAAAAAAAAAAAAAAAAAAAAAAAAATTAAAAAAGATTAAAAAATTTAAATGTATCCTCCAAAAGACTCTTGTTCTCTATAACCTAACACTTATTTTTTTTTTAAATATATTAATGCAAGTTTACAAGAATAAGGATGTAAAGGGTACAAAGAATATAGCTGATCCCTAAAAATCATTCTGGATGGACTTTTAATGACAAACTAAAACATTACCCTTCGATCATTATCTGTAGCTTTCACTTGCAAAAATGAAAGCCCTAGCTGTCTCGTCTCTAGAATGGTTTCATTGTAAGACTGTCTTTCAAAGGCTGGATTATTGATGTTGCGCTGAACTGTTATAGTAGCAACTGTTGTTGCTGTTCTAGAGGGAGAGCCACCATCTCTGGCCAAAATTCTCATCTGCAATAAATTATCACTCATTAAAAAAAAGCCATCTATCTAGCTTATGGGGGGGGGGGGGTGTCATGAGATCAATTCCTAATTGTGCCATAGATAAGAATGCAATAATATGATGTCAATGTTACATCAACATAATTATGTAAATTGTATATGATAACAAATTGCTAAAAATTTAAAATAATAATTCTATATATAATATTTATATTTAATATTTTATGTACGTTTAAAACTACAGGCCAGTGGGAAAGTGACAAATATCTCCAGGACATCAAGTATGCTGAATATTGTTTTCTCTGAAAACAATAACAACAAATCATACAACAAAACCCTTTGATATTAACGCATGGTAATATCTTGACGAGGACTGGGCATTGTCTATATGTTCATTTATGTTTAAATCAATGCTCAACTCACCAAATATTCAGTATCTGCATCAGCAGTTAAATCACTGTTTACAACCAAACGTCCATTACTTTCTAGACGGAAATAAGTCAGAGCTTTGTCATCTCCAATGGCCGACACAGTCACAGTGTTAAATGGAGCCTGCAACAAAATGCCAGTATTTATACTATATTTTATTGATGATCAAATTCAAAGTACTGCATCAGTTTAATAAGCGATAAGATAGATTTCTTCTTTAGTTTGCTATATTATAGTTGGCAAGAGGCAATGCCATCTTATATCTACCATTTCAAGTAATAAATTACTAAGTCAAGTACAATCTTTCTGAAAAAATTATCTGAACATCATTCCGGTAATTTTGATACAATAAAATACTACATGCAGACTGCCTAAACAAGTACTTAAATCATTTAAAAAAATTAATAAAATACATCCCCTCCAAAAAAATAAAAATAAAATTTTTTGAGACAGATTAAATTGCATGATCAAGTTATTGACTTCAGATTGCTAAATCTTACATCTGTATCGGAATCTCCGAAGTTGACTTGAAGTACTGATGTTCCAACGACAGTGGTCTCAGGAATGTTGGCATTAAATGGTCCACCAGTAAAGAATGGGGTCTGTGAATTCCTGTACACATCTATTGTCACTGTGGCATTAGTTGCTGAGGTTTTGGAGGGACTCCCCATATCATAAGCTTGTACAAGCATCTAAAAAAAAAATAGCCCAGAATTTTAAACTTTTAATAAATACTATGTCATATTTTAGATGAAGTCTACCAAACCATTAACATCAAGATACCAAGGAGGAAAAATGAAATGAAATTCAACAACTTCAAGGCTTTGTTTAAAACAAAACCTTTTTAACCTGATAAATGAATAACTGAGTGTCATTCTCTCTGATAATAGATCTACCTGATATCTGGTGGCTGTATCTAATGTAAGTTCCCTCTTCACATAAAGGTTTCCAGTTAAAATATCCAGATCAAAATAATCAGAAGCTGGCTGTGTAGCAAACAATCTGAATCTGATCTGGTTGTGTGGAGCCTGTGTGTCCCTATCTTGAGCCCTCACTGTGGCAATGGTAACTCCCAGATCTTGTGTCTCAGGGATTCTTTCAGCAACATTAGGGGTGGTGATCTCTGGTGCAAAGTTGTTCCTTTCCACTGTCACAGTCACAACAGTGACATTGTCTTTTGCTGGAACCCCATTGTCATAAGCTCGCACACGGATCTAAAGTCACACAGAAGAGAAAGCAAATTTTACAATTAAAACTTATACTAGTGAGTTTGCTCGTGCAGTATTTCATCTTATGTAAAGAAATCTTTTCTTATCAATCATGTTTGTTAGGAAGTTTAATTATATGATTTACATCATTCTTACATAATATATAAGGTCCGATGACGAGGCCAAGGAATTTGCTACTGTGATTTGCCCAACACTTGGGTTAGGAATGGTGAAGAAAGCTCCAGCATTACCGTCCCCAATGATCTCGTATCTTACAACATTGAAAGTGACGTCAGAATCTATTGCCAACAGAGAGGTTCCAACAGCCTGTCCAACTGCAGCTTGTTGAGAGATCAGAGCTGATGTCATGGGGTTTTGCCACTGTGGAGCGTTGTTGTTCCTTATAATATTGATGGTCAGTCTGACTTTGTTGTCTGCTTGCCGTGGGGGATTACCACCATCTTCTGCTCTTACCAACAGCTGTCAAAAGCAAAATGATTGTAAAATTTGTATTATTTATTTTTTTTATTTTATTTTTTTTTTTTACTTTGATAAATCCATCTCATTTGTAAGCTGGAAAGTTTGTCAAAAAATTATTTAACATCCACTTCATAAGCTGGAAAGTTTGACAAAAATTTACTTAACATCCACTTTTTTAAGCTGAATCCTAGAAAAATTCAGGCTTTGAAATTTATCAAAATAAGAGGAAGAGTAATCAACATAATGTAAGTTACATGTACTCACAAAAAGTACTCCAATAAAGTATTACATTCTTTTGCCATTTGGATCAGTTGCTTTTCTCTGTACCAACAAAACTTACCACAAACTGTGTTTCTGTTCGTTGCAGTAAAGAAGTTTTCAGGAAAGTTTGTCCATTATCAGCCACAGTGAAGAAACTTGGAGCATTTCCTTCACCCTCCACCACATATCTTACAGTATTGTAAGGGCTCTGTCAAACAATAAATAAAAAGATTATTTTATAGAAAAAAGTGTCATTAAGTTCATATCAAGACTTTGAAACAAAGTCTCTACAAACTGATAGTTACTGTACATTCCTGAACATGTGCGAGGAATAAATAATCGCATAATTTCGCGAGAAGCAACACTCGCGAAATAAAACTACTCGCTTTTATTTTAATGGTGCTTAATTGTATGTAATATCTCTAGATTAATCATCCACTCGTGAATTATTATTCTCACGATTTGACGTCCTAGGGCCATTTCGTGATATTAAGTACTTGTGTAAAATAAGGAATCTACAGTACAATATTTAAAAATTAACAATGCAGCAAAATTCATTTACAAAGAAATAAATTTGAACTCAATTATCAACAGTCAGTTTGGTAACTAATAATTTTTTATTAAATCTAGTAGGTTTATAAGTAAACTTTACTTTAACCCTGCTTATTTACTAAAAGTATATAAAGCTTCAATGTAACCAGAAAAGAATTTTTTTCCTTTGGTTTGATATACTACAACTTATGCACTGGGTCACATGTGACATCCCTCCATCAATAATCCAAACAGATAGGAGACAGAAATCTTACCACATTGTCTGCATCACTTGCTTGGAAGTCATACACTGAAGTGACGTAGTCCTGAGTCTCCTGAATTGTCACTTGAGCTGCATATGAATCACCAGCGCCAGGTCTCACCCAGATTGGTTTGGCCAAATTACTGTCCACTTTTAGTGTCAGCAAGGAGTAGGTCCTCCTGGGGATATTTGCTCCATCTCTGGCCTCCACTGTCAACTGCAAATGAAGAAATCATTATTTTTTATGTACATGTATATCTAATTAGGATAGTTTAAATGCAATTGATTTAATAAACATGTAAATTTCACTAATGAATATTTGAAGTTTATTGTGTTAATTAACATTCAATATTTCCAATCTGAATCCTAGTTTAATTTCATAACAATATAAGATATACTGTAAACCAACTATTATTCACGTCAACTTTTTCTCGCGATTCGTCAGTTTGAAAACATTCCGCGACGATTAATTTTAGCGACTGAGGAAACATGCTCTACAAATACAAAGCAAAATAAATGGTTCACGGCGATTAATATTCGCGAGTTAAAGTAAGTCGCAAAACTCACGAATATTTCTCGCACGCGAATAATAGTTGGTTTACAGTAGTCCAGAATGGGCAAAAAAGTGTACATACATGTACTATTCTACATTTTGTTTGTTTTCCTAGAGAAAAAGAATACCTCTTCCAAACAGTTTGAAAAGGTTCTTCATGTGAGAAGGATGACTTACCACATACTCAGCCTGAGAGAGTGAATTTGTCTGTAGGGTTACAACACCAGTTGTTGGGTTGATGGAAAATTCATTGGTTCCAGACACCAGGGAGTATGAGACAACATTGAATGGAGACTGCAACAGAATGGATACTTTGCAAAGTCACAAACTGAATTTTCCAATTGAAATTTAATATCATGAAAAACACCTCTTGTCCCTTAATCAATCCAAAAACTTACCTTTGTATCACTGTCATTGGCAAAAGCAGTGAACACATTAAAGCCTACTCCAGAGGTCCGAGGAAGGGACTGGATACTAGGCAGATTCTGGAACACTGGTGCAAAGAGATTTCGTTCCACAGTGATAGTTACTGTAGCAGTTTGTTGGGAAATCAGTGGATTTTCTGCCTTATCAGATACCCTGACATTCAGCTGTAAGGAAGAAAATTTATATGAAAATTGAATCAATACATGTAAAAATATTGAAAATAGCGTTATTAGAATAAAACTGTGTAATATCTTCATGTCATTTCATTGAATTATTTTTTTTTTTAAATTAAGGGCCATTACCCAAACAAATACATGTATCTCAGAAATTACAGAAGAGGTCTTTCTACTGCAAAATGACACATTACTAAATTGATTTTATCCTTTATTAGGACAGTGAGACGTAAGTTTTACCTGGTACTGAGTAGCTGTTGCAGTGTATAATGGTTGTTTCACCAAAACTTTCCCAGAGGTTGCTTCAACATCAAAGTACTGCACAGCCGTCTGGTCCCCAATAGCAGAAAACTCAATCTGATTGTTTGGTGGCTAAAATAATGAAATAGGAAATAAATTTTTCATAAAGTAAATGTATAATTTGATGGAATTGACCATTTTCTCTATACAATTCTAAATAGACAAATTTTTTAATTCTTTTGGAAATGATGGTATTATTTCTACTGGACATATTCATGAATACAAATACTTCGTAAATATACACAAAGTGTAGATACACAATACATGAAAGTGAATTCTTCATTGAAAGACAGAAATACAAATGGACTGACAATATAGACAAAGTGATCCCGCTGTGTCTGCCATATGCTACAAAGACAATGCAAAAAAAAAATAAATTAAGTGAAAACTTACATTTATATCTTGATCTGTTGCTGACACTGTGACACCTGTTTCGGATCCTGCTGGAAGATTTTCTTGAATGGTGACAGCATAATTTAGAGGACTAAAAGCTGGAGCCCACAGATTCCTGTTTATTGTTATGGTAACTACCGCCTCATCAGACAAGGACGGAACTCCATTGTCTGAAACTCGTACCAAAAACTGAAGAGAAGAAAAATATGGCAATACTAACTAAGCATCAATAACAATCTATCAAAATTTATAATAAAAATGAAAAATTAATTTATTCCTCGTAAAGTATCTTTTATTTGGGGAAGGACACATTCTTTTCTCAGTTTTTCTGTATCATCATAATAACAAAATACATTTGGAAAAGGTCTAAAACAAAATAAATCAAAAACTCCTCAAAGCACTTTTAACATCTTCAGCTGTCAATAAATATTTTAAAAATTTCATTTCAGACTTACCCGGAATTCTGACTGAGATATTCCTCCTACAAGATTCCTTAATGTGATGCGGCCAGTGGAGTCTATGTTAAAATATATAGTGGGTGATCCCACTCCCAAAGATTCGATGGCATATGACAGTGTATTGAACTGAGGGATCTGATGAAATGAAAACAAAACATATTTCAATATAATCTATCAATTGACTTTCACAAAGCAATAAATAAACCTGTTCTAAAAATCTACTATTCAGGAGAAAGAAACATTATGTTTGAATTTATGGTGTACTTAAGGATGATATAGAGGGGATCAGCATCATCAACCATGAATTTCCAGAGGAAAAGGGGGGGGGGGGGGGCGGTGTGGAGGGCACATACATATAGTTCTTTTTCTTTTATAGTGTCTGTATTAGATGAACAAATCTGTACTAAGGGCAATATCAATATATAACTGTATAGAGTCAAGAATTGAAGAAATTTCAAGCTAACGTAGCAAAAAATAAATGAGAAAAAAAGAAGACATTATTCATTTAGTGGCCTATATGATCCTTTAGTAAGTCTCATTCAACAATGATGACATTTTTATGGTTGTAGTCATTGCCATTTGATTTTAGTACTACCCCCACAACAGAATCTCTTGATTCTATGAACATTACTTTGGTTGGTCAATATCATTAGGTGAATGTTCATGAATGAAGAAATGTATAAAGGTGATAGAGAAAGAAGTGGTATAATTAAATGTGGATTTTCAGCAATGCCCTTCTTTAAAAAAAGTACTTACTCCAGTATCAGGATCAGTTGCAGAAACCTGTCCAATTATGGTTTGAGGAGTGACTGTAGCATCTTCCCTCATGGTAAAGGCATAAGAAGATGAGGGGAAAGATGGTGCTCTGTTTCGCTGTACATCAACAGTGACTGTGGCATTGCTTGTGCTAATCCTGGATGGATCTCCCAAATCATATGCTTCTACTAGCAACTGTTAAAAGAAAAAAATTCTTCATGTTGATAAACATAGACAATTTTTCCAGTCTCTATGATTAAAAAAAAATCAGTTACATTGCCTAAATTGAAAAATTATGATTTTCAAGTATAAATGAAAGATATGGAAAGATAAGGAAAAGTAACACACCTCATAAGTTGTGGCAGTAAGTCCATTTAATGGACTCCTAACTGTCACCTGTCCACTGCTACTGACAGCAAAGTTGCCCTGTTCACTTGGATATGTTGTAGATCCTGATCTGGCAACAACAGCTTTCAAGCGGTAGTTGACTTGGTTATTGGGTGGCTGGGCATCACTGTCTGTGGCTGTAAGTGCACCTGGACTAAGAGTTAAGGGTGCATCCACTGCCTGTGTTTCCAAGATGGTTGCCTGATAATTCAGTGTATTCCACACTGGGGTGTTGCGGTTCCTGTTTACTTTAATTGTAACCATTGCATTTGCTGACTGGGAAGGACTACCGCCATCTGTAGCAACTGCTACCATCTGTGAAGTGAAGAGAATGACAAATTCAAATCAAATTAAATTTTTCTTATTCATTCTGTTTCTCTCTACTGAAATTAAAATATTTGTTCTCACAACAAATAACAATAAGCTTTGGCTATGCTTACATTAAATGTAACAGTTGGGTCACTAGTCAGGGCACTCTTCACTCTAATAATACCAGTCCCTGGTTCCATAGAAAACAGGTTATTTCCAGCAGTATTAGCCAACAGTGTGTAGGAAATTGTTCTGAACTGTAGCTGCAAGTAAGTTAACATATTATTGCATTACATAAGAACAGATGAGTATAGAGGTTTTGTGCTATAAACCACATACATGTAAATAACACACTTGGCACTCTATGTAGAAAATTATAGTACCCTAAATCCTCCTAATTTTGAGAATTGATCTCTGAGAACAAAGAAATGTAACAAATAATTGTTCTGTATTAACATGCTTGATATTAAAAGAAAAGTGTACCAAAAAAAGCCACCTTTCTATATTCAATTTGCCAGAAAAAGTCCAAGTTCTTACTTCAGGATCCTGATCACTGGCCTGTACTTGTAGAATACTGGAGCCTACGGTTAAAGTCTCTTCAATTTCTTTGTAATATGAAGTGTCAAAGAATACTGGAGGATTAGAGTTTCTGATGATGTTTATTGTCAGGGTAAACTGCTGTGCGGCTACTCTATTTCCACCATCTCTTAGCTGGATGGTCAGCTGAAAAACCAAAAACATTATGACTTAATTTTAGCTTGGGATGTTTGTTTTATGAAACTAAATTCCATGTACACAGATATTTTACTTTATTTCTGGGACTTAGATTTTTATGCATGAACATTTCTAAAAACTGAATACATCAGACTGTTTTAAAGATTTGTGATAAAAGATGCTAAATGGAAGTTTTCAATCTAAATTGAGAGCTCACCATAAATTACATGTACACTGTATATCAGAGATCACACAACTACATAGAGAGTCACATAATGCATCTTAGATAAAATTATTTGTCAAGAAAAAAATCACTTATACGCACCACATACTGATTGACAGACCGATCAATGGCCAGAGAACGAATGATTTGGACTTGTCCTTGACCTGTGACTTGGAAATGCAGGGAAGCACTAGCAGTTGATAAAATGGTGTAGACTCTAGTGTTACCCGGTTCCTAAGATTTAAAAAGTTTCGATACTTTCAAAAAAAATTCTGTTGTAAATACAATATCTGTTTAAAGTTTGTTAGAATTAACTGTACATGTACAGTATTCATCTGATACTTCATTTAAGTATTCAATGTCATATGTCATTTGATAAATGATTTTCTGTACCTGAATATCCAAATCTTGAGTTGATAGGGTGTAAACAGTTTCTAGGACAGGTCTATTTTCAGTAACACTGATTGCGGCACTGTAGGGTCCACCAATTGGAAGCCACTGTGGGTCAAAATTATTGCGGTTCACATTGACAACAACTGTCCCAGTATCAGATAAACCTCCATTGTCTCTTGCTACTATGATCAGCTGTAAAAAAAAAGTTTTTTGTCATTCACAATAAATCTACCAAAAATAAACCCAAAAATCTTATATTAATCTAATTATTCAAATGAATGTTCACATTATACTCAATGATAACTAAAATATTCTGAACATCACTCTCTTGATGTCTATAATTAATTAATCAGTAAAAAAAATACTTTTTTACGATCACTCTCTTGATGTCTATAATCAATTAATCAGTAAAAAAAATAAATACTTTTTTACGATATATTTAGTTTTTAACAAGTTAAACCTGTGAGTTAAACAAGGTAATCATTAAATCTCCTTGAACGTTTTAAGGGAGGGATATAAAAGTCCTAAGTATACAAAAGTACTGCTTGACACTTACTGAATATTGAGAAGCATCATCAGCTGTAAGAGAACTGATCAACGTAATCCGTCCACTGTTAGAGTCCAGTCTGAACAAGGAACCACTAGTAGTATCTGTTACCATTGAGTATGTCACCTGGTTAAACTGAGGCTGTGTACAAAAAGATGATAAAACATATTAAAACTTATGCAAGAACTTGGTCCTAATTCACTCTGAGATTTTGTTTTTTGATGGTTTTCAGTAGATTCTCTTGTAATGTAGGTGGTGGCATCTGCTTCTAATACTGTCCTACCTCATTATCATTGTCTGTGGCTGTGTAGGTGGTGACTTCTGTATTAATCTGGTGACTGTTGAGGATGTTGACCGTCTTGGATTTAGGAGCTGGGAAAAATGGAACTGTATTTCTAACCACAGTGATGGTGACTGTGGTAGAAGCAGACAATGTGGGTACTCCACTGTCTTGTACAGTCACTGCAATCTGTTGAATAAAGTAAGAAGAGCACTCTAATTATTTACTCTACTCATTCAAAAACCAATCTTTTGTAGATCATTCAAAAGAGTTCATCGACAGAAGTTTTCAGTCAGATGAAAATTCATCCAAAAATTTGGACAATTATACCGTATATACTCACCTGTAAGTCGGTCCGCCTATAAGTCGGTTGTGCTTTTTGAGGTTATTTTGGAAGTATTTGTCATTGACCCGCCTATAAGTCTGTACAACTTTTTGCCAGGATTGGTGGACAATTTCAAATCAATGCTCTAATGTTTTAACATGTGTTTCAAATAATATATTGAGAAATTACGCCGATATTTTATCTCTCTTTTGTCTTCTCTTATAAATTTCATATCAATACTCTAATGTATTTACCTGTGTTCAAATAATATGTTAGGATATGACATCGGTAATTAATATTTTATTTTTCCACAAGCCAAACTACCCGGTACTACCATTTTAGTTTTCTTTTTTATACTGTTTTGTTTCAGCGTTAAATTCCTTGTCTTGTATATTTTATACACCGATCTTGATCATAGGCGGATCTCGGTCTCTTTAGCATGGTGAAGAACTACATGTACGAGGGGTTATCAAAAAGTTCGTGGACTAGCGTGATAAAATTAAAACCGCTTTAGGTACATCAATGAATTTTTACACATTTAGTTAGCATCATCCTTTCTATCTATAGAATAAACCATAAATCATAATTTTTATTTTTTTAATAAAATGTTAGTGTTTTTGTAAGCAAAGGTATGTCCAGGCGGCGCAACCTCTAATATGACGTTTTTTCCTACCTGTGTGTAACTGAGAAAAACTCTTTAGATATGAGTATTTGTCATCAGAAAATCTCGTTAATTCAGGCATGTGGTATGACACATTTGTTCAGTAAAATTTGGAATTTTTACCCCATTCTGTAATTTCTATGAAATTTTATCGTAAATTTTATATGGAGTGTCCAAACAATTGTGGGCGTGAAAATAACGTCAAAAGGGGGGAGGGGTTTCTTTTTCAAACACTCTATAGAGTTTCGGTCCTGGAAAAACTGGTATTGCCCATATCGAAAATGAATACAAAAATAATACAAGAAAAAAATACTAAAATAATACAAAAAAAGTATATTTTTAATGACCAAATTTGGAACCCTCTAAATCTTGGTTCCAATTTAGGTCAAAAATAATAGACTTTTTAAAAGCCAAACACAGAAAAATATATTTTTAATATACTTTATTTTTTCGAAATAATACAGAAATGATACACATGACCTGTAAAAACGTATTGTTTTTGTACTTTTGTATTATTTCTCTATTTTCCTCTCCAAAGTATAAAAATAATACAGTCCATAGAAAAGTATAGAAAAAATACAGAATGTATCAATTTTGTATTAGCATATATTATTTTTGTATTTTTTCACCTTTAAGAATTAAAATACAAAAAAAAATATAGAATATATTAATTTTGTATCACATATATTATTTTTGTATTTTTTCATCTGGAACAATTAAAAGTACAAAAAAGATATAAAATATGAAAATAATACAGTACACAAAAAAAGTATGAAAAAAAAATAGAATGTATTAATTTTGTATTAATATGTATTGTTTTTGTATTTTTATCAGCATGAAGGACTGTATTTCAAAAATATCAAAAAAGTACAAGAATGATAGACAAAAAATACACTTAAATGCTTAAAATAATACAAAACAGAGTTTTAAAAACTACAAAAATGATCATGGGCAAAAATTGTTATTTGAAGAAAAGGGGTTGGAGATTGAGGTTCTTAATAGCATCTATTGATTGTTATTCAAAAATCTTTTATTTATTTGAAATATTTGTTAAATAACAATTTTAGTAACTCAGTCAGATTACCTTAAATGTACAAACAGCTAATTAAAAAGTAATTAATGTGGCCAGACTACTGATTCAGCTACCAATTGTAGTCTTGATCTTTCTTTTTGCATATAATCTGCTCTTCAATAGTCTTGATATTTTTCACAAGTTTAACTAATCCTGTTTTCTTTGTACTTTTACCAAATGTTTCGATCTCTCTGCTTTGCTGTTTCTTTTGTATGGAAAAGGTAGAGGAGTGTTTACTTTGTTGCAGAAGTCCATCTTCAAATCACACAACCTGTCATCTCATCTGACTTCATCACTGTGAAATATAGAACAGAATGATATAATAATAAAATTTAATGAACCATTACCTCAACAAAACACACATTTTCACATCCAAAATAATTCTATATAGATTTTGTTTAGCTCACACACCTGCAATACTTTCTTGAGAGGGATCTTCTTCCTCCATGACTAATCAGCTTTTCTTCAATGTTCTGCTGACTAAAATTAACAATAATTATAAATTGAAATTCCAAAAGATCCAGCGGAGTTCACCAAATTCCATACAATTGTACCATTGAAATTACTTTTCTTTAATCTGGGGTTTCTTAGGGGACAACCATCTGGAGAAGAAAAAGGGGGGGGGACTGATTTATAAAATATTTTTAAAAAAATATTTGTAATAAACAATCTGTCCTTGAAAATGTTGAAAGAGTAAACAAAATGTGTGCCCCAATGTTATTTAAATAAACTGCACTGCCCCCCCCCCCCCCGAACCCAACCTACCCCCCCCCCTCGAAAAAATTTGAGTTTATACAAATTACAGAATTGTTTTTGAAGGGAAAATAAATAATTCGTCTCTGGTAAACTTGAAAAAAATGGAATGAATTAGAACTAGGAAGCCAAAGGCTTGATAATTACCCCCATCTTCCACCCCTCCCTCCCCAATCAGAATTTATCACAAAAACCCTTGTTCCCCACATGGCCAATAACCGTACTATTTTATCTTTCTACAATGCTACAAAATGGTTAAAAAAGGCATTCTTTGTTCCTCTATCTTTGTACTAAGTTATTATTTAAAAAAACTGAAACTTTAATGTGCTAAAATATACATAATCTTACCGCAACTGTCGTTGTTTACACCAGAAAATTCCGGATATGATGCCTAAAAAACGTCAGTCTCCTTATGTATTTGCTTTCCTTGGTTCATATATCTGATCCTGTGTACCATGATTATGCTGAACTTCTGTTTTTCGATCCATTTTACTCGCGAGCAAATGAGAGTTTATTCAAAATCACCTCCAGGTTTCTCAACACGTCCCGGGAAGAATTTTCAAAATGGCGTGAGTGAAATATTGTTGACCAATCAGAGAACAGTACGGAAGAGTTTTAAAATCTGACCAATCATATTGTGTCATATATACGAAAATTACCGATGTTGAGATCGGAACAGTTAGAGAAAACATATTTACATGGTTTTAAATATCTTGAATCAATTGAACAAACCTAAATTTATGTTAGAAAAAAACGATAATTTAATCATCAGAATCATTTTTTTATTCCTTACGGAATTTACCGATTACGAAACATCGTTATTTCCGGTCATCATTTCCGCTGAGAGCAGCCATTTTTATATTCAAGGTGACCTGTGAAGTAGACCATAAAGTTCAAATATAATGATCAAAACGAGCGGGAGATACATAATATATAGCCTTTTTGACTGACAACTCAACTCATACATACGGTACCAGAGATTGAAATAATGTTTAACAACTATTTCACATTTTCTATATTATTTTATGATATTCTTTCGTAATAATTTCTTATTTAATTTTTTTTTAAAGCAGATAATTGAATAGTTCTATCTATTCCATGTAATTGTAATACGTACTGAATTAAATATAATGTATACTAAATTGAGTTGTATAGTCATGAAAACATCGTAGGTACTGTAATTAGTGGAACTCTCCATGTTGTTTGTTTTTGTTTTGTTTTTTTTGGTTGGGATGTGTTTTCACGGGTAAATCATGTTATTTCTTTGAGTAGTATAACATGTACTCGTCTATTGATAGCCTGCAGGTGGCCACCTGTGCTGTTGGCGATAGTTGTAAACACGCGGTTGTAAACACGCTGTAAAATTTTCAACACAAAAAGAAAGTCTGAAACTCTGAAACTTCAAAATTTACCGCGTGTTTACAAGTATCATGTACAGCACAGGTGTCCCCTTAGACGTATCTATCTCTTTCCAAATGACAATTTCAAACCTAGTAAAGACATGTTTTAAAAATGAAGTTGTTTAGTTAACAAATTTAAACTACTCAAGTTTTCTGTTCTAAATAGCAATTAAATGTAAATAGTATAAAAGCAACCTTTATAGCAGTGGTCTTAATTAATAAAATCTGAGAAAAAATATTAATTCCAACAGACTTATTGCAAGGACATTCTGTAAATTTTCCTAAGTTCAAAGAAATACAAATTTCAGTAAAAGAAAACACTAGGTCCAAAATAAATATTAAAAAAATACATACTGACTGTATAGTATTTTTTGAAAAATTATTAAGTCCAAATTTAATACAAAAATAATACAGACTAAATGTATGTAATTTTCTGTAAAATTACTAAGTTCAATTTTAATACAAAAATAATACAGATTAACTGTATGTAATTTTCTGTAAAATTACTAAGTTCAATTTTAATACAGAAAAAATACACTTGAAAAAAACTAAGTCCACAAAAATACAAAAATGATATACTGAAAATAATCTAAGTCCCAAAAAATACAAAAATAATACCCTGTAAAAAATCAAAGTCAGATTTTAATACAAAAATAATCTACCTATTTGTTGGTGATACAAAAATAATATATTTTTTCTGTATTAATTTTAAACAATACAAAAATGATTGTATTAAAAATATATTAAAAATATACTTTTATGTATTATTTTTTGATATGGGTGACCTAAGGAATGTTTAAACTGGCTACAGAAAAATAAAATGCATCCAGAGTACTTGTTTTTTAATGCCTAAAAAGATTCAGAGAGATGAAATATGCACAGCTAGTGTCGATTTGTAGTCAGGGTGTCAAAAGTCAGTCACGTCGAAAAGTGACGTTGATCATGTGTGGTAGAAATTGAACTCCAACAAGCTAAGTATTCTGGCATAATCAAGTGAGGATCTTTCCCCATATAAAGATCCATTTACAATATTATATGCATTGAAAACAGCTGCTCATGACATTGTAAATTCATATAAATAAGACGGGTTTAAGTCCTAACTTAACTCCAGGTAATCTCATCAAGATAAGTGTATGAGGTAGAGAGAGCGAACATTAAGAAACAATGATGTTAAGCGGACGTCATGACACTAAACGGCGACAGCGCCGGGTGATCACATAAAGTCTTTTTAATTTTAGAATAATTTGGCAAATTATCAACTTATCAAGCTAAAATTTTCAACATTTCTTAAACTTTTGTTGTTTTATGTTCCGCATAAATTTTGTAAGCAAAGACTACATATTATTAATTTTATCGCGTCAGTCCACGAACTTTTTGATAACCCCTCGTATGTAACGAGGCTAGTAACATTTTGATGATATTTAATTAGGAGGTGCTCAATGTCCAAGCCATATCTATAGTTTTTAATAACGCTATGTTTGATCTTTTATTAGCAATTACTGTCTCTTAATTACCTGTATCCCTTACCTGACACCGTGTTTATTAAGTGGCACACGCCCCGAGAAAATTGTGTACTACAGATGGGAATATTCATTCATAAACAATCGAGTTTTAATAGCCCCAGAATAATATTCTGAATTATTTTTTAAGAATATTATTTCTGTTGTCAAAAACATTGCAGACGGTACATATAATTATACATTAATGCTGAACGTATTACCGGTATATCGGGTTCGCAATTCAATTTTACCGACAAACGATAGATTAACAGTGAGTCACAAGTTGATTAAAGAAATATTTTTGTTTATAATTAATCAAATAAATAATATACACTTAAGATCAAAATAAAATCATTAAAACATGTAAATACTTGTACTTTATATATAATCTTAGAATACATAAATAATATAATACGTCCAGACATTTCTCAACGATGATCGTCGAAGTTATGTTAAAAATAGTACATTTCGTCGTCTAGAAAAAAACAGTGGTTCCCGTTTTATCGAATAGTCAAGTTGTCAGCCTAGTTTTATCCGAATAGCCGAAAATTAGAATAGCCGATTGCACCATACCGAGTCCAAAGATAGATGTATAGAGCTACATGTATTGATAATACATCGTAGCTAGCAAATATCAAGCTTGCACTTTCGTTTTCTTTTGACTTGTTTACTTAATGACTTTACTAAAAATAATTTATTTCACTTACTTATGAATTTAATATAAAATTTTTTTTCAAATAAATTGACGTATAGAATATATTCTTTGATAGTTATTGCCATCTTTCTTCAGCACATGTTTACATTCCTTCTTCGACGGTCGCCATTTTGGAAACGGAAGTAGACTAAATGCTTGACTAATAACCGTAAACTATTTTTCCCTGGATAGATTGTAAATTAAAAATAAACAGAAATATCAAATATATGTAATTGTTTCCTTTTGATTTGTTTCTTTAATACGGTTACGTATTTTATACTGTGTGTGAGTTTACCAGTCTCGTTCTTGTCTGCTGAAGAGAGATTTTGAGAGCCATGTGGAGAAAGATGGTATGAATTTTGAGACGTATTTTTATAGAATGAGCCATTTGTGATTTTTACCATAAATTTTGCACTGAAAAGAGAATAAATATTAAGCCAATTGACCAAGTTAAACGATTGAATAGGTTTATTTCATTATCCAAGCAAACTGTCATACACAAGCTAATCAGTTCAATAATTAAAATTTCACGCCGAAACAATTGCAAATAATTGTCATAATTAACAAGTGCATCATTGAACCCAAGCTGATCACCACAACTGTAATCAAAACATATCTATTTACTATGCCCACTATTGACACAGGTAAGGTGCCTGTGTGCGTCCAGGCGTAACTAATCCCCTCATTGTCGTACTCAAGCCAGTCAAGGTAATTGGTGTCAAACTGTGTAAACAAAGGCTTCACATACGAAGTTGGAGGTGTGAACAAGGTGCTGATTATCAAAAAACACTATGATAGTCCAAATTTTTGTATCGGATAAAACGAAATTCCAGTATTTTCTCATCAGAATATCAGGTGAAATTATTAATAAATATATAAGAAATGGTTTTGTGCTCTGATAATATATTGAAATAGCCGAAATATTCGTTAAACCGCTATCCGATAAAATGGAAGCCACTGTACCAAGTTTTGATGACTCGCCTATAAGTCGGACATAGAGTTTTGGACCAAAAGTTAACTCCCAAAAAACCGACTTATAGGCGAGTATATACGGTAAATATTTCCATCAACAGAGACTGAAAATAACATGATATATACATGTATATACTTACATCATATCTTGTAACACCGGGATCCTGCTGAAATGATCTTCCCAGTGTGATCTGTCCACTTTCTGGATTGATATAGAACCATTCCAGAATATTTTGATTTTGAGTAGGACTGGAAGTCACAGAGGTAATTCGGAAAACTAGTCGACTGTTGGCTGTATTCTGTATTTCAAACAGAAGATGGCTTAAATTAGTATTTGGTTTTGTAAAAAACATGACTGCAAAGACATACAAGTACAATTTTTTGCCAGGGTGGTTCTAGTGGTGATTAAAATAAGAAGAGATACTGCTCTACATAATTTCTAAATCAATTCCTTGCTAGGGGTAACATCATGGGAAATCAAAACTGAATCACTAGCCTAAAATTGGTTATGGAGAAGTCAGACTTGTGTGCATGTTATGCATGTATCTTTCATGACTCAGTGTAAGAATAACATGGGTTACAACAGATCATTTGAGTGACTTATGTTGCACACTACATATTTGAAATTTCCAGGAGAAATACATGACCTAAGAGACTGTCAGACACTTGAAACACAGCAAACCATCTAATCTGAACAGAAGAAAACATCTCCTCTCTTTGATGGATTTTGTATGAATTATGTTCAACCTCTCTTTGGTGGGTTGTTAAGAACAAAAAAATTCAATAACCTTGTAAACTTACCTGTGCATCAGCATCTGTTGCTGTGATACTGGAAAGAAGAACAGTCCCCACTGGGACGTTTTCAAGAAACCGTAGATTGGCAGGTACAGCCTGAATAACTGGAGGATAATTGTTGACATCCTTTAAAGACAAAATTATACATTTATACTGAAAAACCATTTGAAAAAAAACTTAATAATGTAAGAAATCCTGTAGGAACTTTTTTGGTGTTTGGAACTCTTTAAAAGTGTATTGACTGATCATCACTTTTATAGAAGGAAAAACTCAAAAGATTTATGAGTGATAATACTTAACTCAGCTCCTTAAATATTGATCTCAATTTAAAATACCAATGCATTCTATGCAGTGAAATACTAAAAATGCTAATCCATTCTATACAGTTTAATACTAAAAGAATTACGACTTATATATTGCAATATTAATTAAATTAAGTATCTATGTTGCTACTATCTATATTACAACCTCTAGATTTATGGTGACTGTTGCTGTTGCAGACAAAGCATTGGAACCTTCTCCTTCAAAAGTAGTCACTGTGAACACATAGCTATTTTTAGTCTCATACTGGAGAAGTTGGTTGTTTGTTATAATGCCACTATTCTGATTAATACTAAAGACACTGAATTCTCCTGAGCTGAAGTTGTAAGTGATCTGATCCACTACATCCTGGTCCAAGGCCTACAAAATCAACAAACTTTTAGTTAATATCTTTTACACATAAAAGGAATCAATCCACAGTTCAAATAAACTAAATCCTTCCTGCAGTGAAAAAGAAAATTTTCTGTTAATAGCTCAGAGTATGATAATTGCATCCTTTCTAGATAGAATTGTACACAATGTCAAAAAAGCAATGCATATCTAAGATAATTTATGAATTTCTAAAAGGTAATGCAAAATTTTCTAATGAATAAAGTTGTTCATACCGTGACTTGCACTACAGATGTACCAACTGGCTGTCGTTCAGGAATAGAGCGTACAATGTTAGTCTCTGTAAACAAAGGAATCGTGTCTTGTACATCCTGAACGTTAATGGTGACTGTAGCTGTTCCTGTTCTACTACTGGCTCCTCCATCAATGCCCAGAATCAGAATCACATGGGAATTTCTTGTTTCGTAGTCTAATGCAATGGCTGTTCTTATTTGTCCAGATGGTAAAATGGTAAATCTGTGGAAAATTAGAAATGTCAAATAGTTATTTGTGCCTCTGCTTTAACCAGCATTCAAAGAAACCTGGTTCTATTCATATTCTGAATGTTTTAAATTCTTAAATGAAGATAAGATACTTACAAACTAGAAGAACCAGTTGATGAAAAAGGTGATATCTGATAATTAATGTTTGCATTTGCACCTTCATCTGCATCTGTTGCCTACAATATCAAAATGACTTAAAATGTTTGTTTGGGGCCAAGAAAAAAGTATAATTAGGAACTAGAGGCAGACTTTCCTTCAGACATGTTTATCTAAATCAAATATTACATGATTTACATTTAGTAAGAGAGGACTTACTGTTACTGTTCCTACATCTTCATTTGATCTTCCCTCAGGAACAGAAAACGTGTAAGTAACGGGTGTAAAAACAGGGTTGTTATCATTGACATCTTGGATTATGATTGTCAAGGTTGTCTGTGCAGACTGAAAATTAAAACATAAAAAAGTTCTCAATATCTATTATAAGAATATAAATCACACATATACAAGACCTCTAATTTCTATTTAATCTTAAGCATTCCGTTTTCAGAGGATATCTATTTTATTAGATCCTTATGAAAACAGTCAACTCACGACATCTTGTTTCATTGTTAATGGAAGTGATTAAGTTTGTTTCTATAACTGAGAACCCAATCCCTTTAGGAACATTTTTATTGGTTGGGTTTCACCTACCAGTCCACTCTGATCCTGCACTCTAATGTTTAAAGTGTACTGAGGTGTTGCTTCTCTGTCCAAAGCTCTTTGCGTTCTAACTTCTCCTCTGAAATAGCATATTCATTTATATAACATTAAAATCTGATAATTCGACTTATTGTTATCATCAAATTTTCTTGCATTTAAAAAAGTTTGAAACACACTTACGTTGTTGAATTAATGCCGAAGTCATTGTTGACATTTCCCGAGATAATAGAAAAACTTAATGGTAGTCCTTCTGGGTCTCTAGCCTGTAAAACCACATAAAAGATGAAATATGATATATAAACTCAACACTAATGTCTCTAGCCTGTAAAACAGCATAAAAGATAAAATATGATACATACACTCAATACTAATGCATTGGCAGTTTACCATGAATACCTTACAAAGTGATTAATTGCAAAGAATAGAAAGACCAGAGGCAGATACATGAGTAAATGAAATTCTTAAGAAAACAGTCAAGTTTAACAGTATAGTGAGGGCTAACAGATAATTTTAACTACTAATTTCTTCATGAAGCATCAACAGTCTCCCAAGTTTGTTCCTTTTTTCATATACAAAGCTTGAGTACATGGAATAGCCTAACACAGTTTCATAATCCTCCGGTAATAACCGTCATTCAAATTCAATTTATAATAGCAAAAAAAACTACTGTGAAGAAAATAAGGAAGACATAAATACACGTATATTGGCCCTGTGATAAGAACTGAAAACATATAAGTACTACTTTATATATTGCCGACAGTGCTTTATAAATCAGAAGTTTCTAAGCAGCCCTTCTTACCGACCATCCTTGCATCTAAAGGGAAAAAATGCAAGTAACATATAATGCCATAAATTTCAAATCCTCTTTTTCCTTCAGAGTACTACAGAATGTAGAGTAAACAGTACATGTAGTTACTGCTCATCATATTTATCAATAAGGTAACCTTAACTCCCTTACTTGAGTAGGTAAGAAAATGGATTAGTGAAAATTAAAACAAGACATTCACCATTACCATTCAGTAACACACCATATAGTGACAACCAATTCCAATTTAAGAAATGAGTACTGTATAAAAAGAAATTTTCGCCCCCATTTTATTTTCACCCCTTTCACCCTACTCACAGGTGGGCAAATTTAAAATGGGGTAAATTCAAAGAACAAAGTATATAATTTCTTAAATAGAACTGTGACTGGGTGAATTTAAAACTGGAAAAAAATTGCTTGCAAATGTGAATGGGTGAAAATAACATGGGACAAATATAACTCTGTATACAATATTTTAGCCATCTTTAACTGTATACAATAGAGCTTTAGGCATGCATGCACAACTTTTCATGTCAAGTGACAGATTTAAAGGACATCCTCTTACAATGAATTAGTAACTCAATCTTTTCTTTTAAAAAAAAAATTGTAAGACTTTCATCTGTTAATATTTATCAAAAAAATATCTTAAAAGTCTTATCCATAGCAGCTCTCTTTGAATCTGTCCCTTATCAAACAACCAAGGAAAAAAAAGAAAAAAAATTCTTATTTTGGGGTTAACAAAACATACCGGAACAGTGAACACGGATGAAGTAATTGGAACTGCCTCGCTGACATAAACTGTAAAAGCAGGGGCCTCGATGACAGGTGGACGTGTCCCTAATGGGGTCACGGTCACTTCCACTGGTACTGTGGCAGTCCTACATCAAAAGAATTACAATTAGTGACTATTTCTTAAATAAGATAATTATCTAAAATTTGAAGTGTTCTTTGTATTCATGGTTAAAAATTAAAAAAAAGAAAAAATATTGATACACATGGTGTAAAATTGCTTGTGGAGAGTTTTATGATTTTTAATCTTCACAGTGTCAAGTTTTTTCAACCCTTCTCCCCTCCTTTCCAATGATGCACCCCATTACCACTTTTCCCCTTAAAATCAGTACACTTATATACCTCCTTTCAGAGACAGGTTGACCTTGGTCCGTTGCAGCAACCATGATGACATAGATTTCACCCTCTGCTACACTTCCTATGCAACTTATAGTTGCCCTTCCTGTCTGTGAGCTTGGCTGTATTGAAAACTTGGAAGCCCCATTATTTGAGACACTTTGTATGCTGTATACAATGTCTCCATTTGCTCCGCTATCTGCATCACTGGCTGAGACCTACAATTTATGAATTCAAAATACCTTAACTTTTATCATTAATGTTACTTATTTATACCTTATTCTGCACACAAATTATGCAATTTAAATTAAGTGACAATTATTAATTTTCACCTACATCCAGCAAAACTTGATTGCTTGTAGTATAGTCTCCCTCCACAATACTGTCTACATATCTTGGTGCACCAAATACTGGAGTGTTGTCATTAAGATCCCTGACATTAACAGTGACTTGCACGATTCCACTTCTTGGGTTCTGGGTTCCCACTTCAGTTCCTGTCACCTATATTTTCATTAAAAACATAAAATATCTTAATAAGTCATGTAATGGACATCCCACAATGAAATAAAATCATCTTAATATGGAAGCTTGTAAAGGCCACACCAATACATTTCCTCATTTTGAAATCACTTGACAATGTATATATAATTATAAACTATAATTTTTATTTACAAATGAAAAAATTGTTAGAACAAATTAGTAATGTGCAATTACAAATTAATAATTTTCATTACAAATTATAAATAACTAATTAGATAGGCAAAGGTGCAGCTCTTGGAAGCTTATGCCTAATAAAATTATGGGCCAAACTTCCCCAATCATTGAAATATAAAAAAAATGAATTACGAAGTTATGTGTGTCACTAAACATTTTCTTTTAGTACTTATTTATGTTCCTGAACATTTTTTACTATCAAGTATTTCTTGTATGCAAAAAAAACCCAAACAAACAAACAAAAACAAAAAATCAGAAGCAATGTCCTTAAATGTCTGAAGATTACTCATTAAACCTGGAGTGTTGCTCTAGGTCACTGACAATAAAAATCCAGAAAGGAGAAAAATCAATGTGTTTTAATTAACTTACAGTGAAAGTGACAACTGGCGTGGATTCATAGTTTATTACTGCAGCTGCTTCTACATATCCTTCACTGTTTACTCTAAACAGTCCTGTGTTGACGGTGAAAGTGTATTGTCCAGTCTCACCTACAATCTATAATTCAATATCATATTAGCTAATCCTCTAAAGTAAAGTAAGTATTTGAAAAATAAATATAGTCTTTGTCTTGTAATGCTTGATAAAAATCTTACTAGGTCTGGATCCGTTACAGAGATTCTTAATAGGTTAGATCCATTATCATTCCTTGGTATGGTTCCAACGGGTGAATTTTCGTAAATGTAACCTTGGAAAGGTACACTTAGCACTGGGTTATTGTTGTTGGCTGCAGCAACTGACAATTTTATTGTAGCTCTGTTGGAGTACCTGTTTGCTACATTTTCTTGAGCCTATGTAAAACAAAGGATAGGAATAAAAATATTTGTAAGCATGTTAGCATCAGCACTATGCATAAAAGAACTTAAAAATGAAAGTCAGAGTACAATACGTACCTCAATAAAAAGTTCCAGCTCAGAAACTTGGGATCTATCAATGGATGCTGTCTGGCTTACAAGGGCACGGTATTGGTTTGCTGAGCCAGAAACTTGTTGAGTGGTCACTTGGAATCTGTTCTGGTACCCTGATGGCAAGGCTGGTAAATTTTTTTTACAAAATTGTACGTATATTATAGGTATCAACAAATTTAGCAAAAAATTCTTAAATAACAAGTGTTGATAAATCATTGATTAAAACAGCAAATTTGGTCAATGTCCGATACAAAGACCCTGATTTGTTTTCATTTGTTCTCCTGTTTATTCTCAACAAGTACATAAAACTCTGTTTTAGTTCTAGCAGAAGTGAATCTGTGAAGGCCAGTTCAATTTATGATTTAGCTCCTTACTATTCTAATGACCAAAGCAATGCTAATTGGGAATGACATTACGTGAATGAAATGTGTATTTTAAGATTATTCAATCGAGGTAACCTTATGTGATGTACGTATTTTCTTACTTCAAATATTATCCAACATACAAAAGTCAAACACTTTGTCCTTACTTTGTCGTATTGTAAAGGTGATCGGAGCATTAAGAGTGTCCCTGTCCTCTGCAATGATATCAACTGCTGCATTTGGATTTCCAGAATCCACAGGTACCGGGTTAAATACAAGTGTGCCAGCCTACAAATGTAGAATGTCATAACTATCAAGTAGCACACAGAAACACAGTTAGACTGAGTTGTTTGACAGCTGAAATTGCTTTGATATATACTTAATTCATAATATCTATTATTTTCTAGTAAGGAATAGAAAATGTTTGTTGTAAGCAGGAATTCACAATATCTGCAGTGTTCCTCTATAAACCTGTTTTTTTACCATATAAAACCTACTGCTGCATCTCAATCTTGTATAAAGTCAGAAAACTTACTGTTGACCCAGATGTGACACTTGTTGTGTAAGTTGGGTTAAAACAAACATTGTTGACATTAAAACATGTGGAATATACAAATTTGGGTCCTAGATCATCCACATCATTTATAGTAATTGTGATGGTGGTGGTAGTCTGTTTCCTGTCTGCAACATTGCTGGCTTTGTCCTAAATATAAGGAAAAAAACATAAAAAAATCGAAAGTATATATGTATATATTATGTTTTTCAACTTCAGCATTTGAGAAAAATATGGATATCATACATCATAAAAATCTGTTTAACCAAATACTTTTTACTCCTGGAAGTTACTGCACTACTCATGGTTTTGAAATATGACATGAAACAGTAGTTTTTGTACCGTCATATATTTATTGGTTCATATGAAGTTTTAAAAATACTGAAAATATACAATACAGAAAATTAAAGAGAATTTTTCAAGCACCATACATGTTATTGCTTTCTGATAATGCTGTTCTGAAATGATACTCACTGTTGCAGATATCGTGAGGTTATATGACCGTACAGATTCAAAGTCTAAAGAACTGCCAACAACTATTTCTCCTCTTGAAGTGATAGGAAGTACAAATCTGGTTGAGCCATCATTCTAAAATTAAAATTATCTTTTTTTTTCTATTTGTTAAAAAATAATACACTCAATAGCTACAATTCTATTAAATTTTGTTACTTTTTTCTATGCATACCAGACCTCACAACCCCCCTCCCCCTAAAAGGGGAAAAAAAAATAAAAATTTATTTTAGACATTAAAACAAGTGACATATTTGCCTGGTAAAGTAATATGCCCTTCCTTCAGTATTAAATGCTTAAATTCAGATACACTTAAATATATTGCTCAACAGTAGAAAACTTGTTTGATGTTATGTTTTATACAAGTGTATTGTAGCAGTGTTTCTGATAACATTGATTAAAGTTGTTTATATCTACATATTTTACAAATTCCACCACCTTGTCTTTTTTGTCAGAGGACAAGAGTCTCTACAGACATAACCTCTGCAAATTGTTTGAACCTTTCGCAAATCTATTAGTCCATTACTTCAGCCTGGTTGACTTTTTATTACCACCTCCAGCCTAAATGATAGAGCCAAAATGAAGTAATTGACATGACATATTTTATTTGGACTTCTGGTTTTTAGATCTGTAGAGATTGTTTGAAAATTTTGAAAGCTTGTGTGTATTTTTAAGGACCTTTTTGACACATTTTTTTTTTCAAGGGGGGAGGGGGGGGGCTTTAATATTTTTTTTTTATTGTACATTTATGTATAAATAGAAATACTCTCATACACTTACTTTCCTTCCTACCACTAATACTTTATGGGATAAAATTTCATAAATATATCAACAGAGAAAAATCAAATCAAAAATGAATACTCACAATACTCCCATCTCCGGGAAGTATGGTATACTCTATTTCTTTGTTGCTTCCTGCATCCAGATCTGTAGCTGTTATCCCAGAATACACAGTTGTTCCCACTGGTGCTGACTTGAAATAGTTTTAGAAAAGGTTTAATAAAATGCTTACAAAAAACAAACAAACAAAAAAACCCTATGTAAACCTCTTTCTTACTACACCCTTGTATCTTTTAAGAATTGTGATGAGGAAGACTCCTCTATCTTCATGGTTTGAAGGTTTAATTTTATGCAATAATCTAACCACACCGACTATTTTTTTTTTCTAAATACATGATTTGATTCTTCAAAAATTCCAACATTAATTCAAAGCTAGGCTTAAATGAAATAAATGATATGCTTTGAATTAAAAAAAAAATCTTAAAGATTGTCATTAGTTTTAAAGAGATTACACATTGAGCTTTCTTTTTAATTTGTATAAAATCATAATGGGGGTAGTAATTTGGACAAACCTCATCGACTGAAGCAGAATAAGGAGCATTTCTAAATATAGGTGCATTATCATTTATGTCCCGAATCTCCAGCTGCATCAGGAAAAACTTTGTTTGCGTTGGATCTTTCTAAAATTGCAAATTTAAAGAAATACATATTTGATTTTTATGAAAATTTAAAAAACATTACAAGTATCAGATTTTCAGCATTACATAAATAATCAATGATATCAGCAGAGCACATGATTCTAAAGAATGATATCACACTGAAAAATATCAAAATGTCTATGGTATAGTATCAATATAAGTCTCTTAATAAGAATATCTGCATGAGTTGTGATGTGGCTTCTTGTCCTTGAGTAAGGTAGGATCAATGCTAGCATTCACCATGAAACTAGTATTTACAAGTCAAAGAATATGGATAATTGTGGTATAAAATTTTTACGGATGAAGTTTACAAGTTTTCCAAATAAATAAGCTCAGATTAGCTGTGTACTTACCAAAGAGCGACAAGATAATTGAAACTCAACAGTGTCAAGGTCATCACTGGCTATATAGGAACTTCCCTGTGTAAATGATAGAAAGATGGAAAAGTATTCAATAATAATAGTACTGCAATGATTGGTTTGCTCTCAATATTATATATTCAATCATACTTCTTTAAGAACATTCCCAAAGTAATTGTTCTTGTTTAATTTGCAATTTATGAAACTTACATCTCTGTCAATTGCTGACTTCAAACGGATAAAAGTCCTACTTCCAAAAGATGAGTCTGTCACTGGTAAAGTTACTAATTCAAACAGACTATCCAAGTTAAGATCAGTAGGAGTGGCTGCTGATCTAACAATGGATATATTTACTCCAGATGCTGTCACAGTCCCCTGATTTATTCCTTCTATCGTTGTGTCTGTCCTATAGAGTGCAGAATTTGGATCAAAAGAAGCAAAAGTGGACTCGTACACAAATCCAGCAATGTTAGGATCAGGTGAACTGCATGCTGTAAATAAAAATAACAATTGAAGTATATGGTATACAGTATTTGATCATTTTTATTTGAAACATTTATCTTATATGAAGCATTTCAAAAATGAAAAAAAAAATACTGCATGCTATAATTCATTGATCAAAATATAGCAGCTAAATGAAAAAAAAAATAAATTGAAATTCACTTACGTTCCTGTGAATTCACCGTCTTCATTGTTAGCACCACTAGTGTGAAAAGCACCGCTAAGAAGTACTGCTTCCACATCTTGCAATTTGAGGAACTCTGTCCTCTCCTGGAGATAAAAATTTACATCTTTTATAAATCAGGTTAAAAACTTTTAATATATAAGCCATGTCTGTTCTTTCCTTCGTCTCCATCAGAATCATTATTTCTTTTTTGTTTAAGCAGCACAGGAAATACTCCTAATCTTATTTCTATGTTATTTTTTTCGTGTATAGCATTTCATGGACACCAGTAAAATTTATGGCTGTAATATACTGGTTACAAGTCATTCCATTCATTTTACTTTTACATAATACACATACAAAACAACTCTGATTTCTTTGTAAAGCAAGCAAAAGGGATGACCATTTGATCATAAAGCTACTGGTTACAGTGGAGAAAATATTAAAAAGTTTGACATGTCACTTTAATAGTTTGGGTAATATTTGTTTTATGTAACAATTATAAATCATTATTACATCTTGTAATTACTATAAAGAAAAATATTAAATAAATCTTCTCATTGACTAACTGTTTCAGACCCCTAAATGCTTTCTGTAGAGCTCTACCCTTTAAATGACGTGCTTTCAATACACAAGCATTGAAGCATTTAATTTAGGTTTACCTGCCCTACCCAACTTTACTGGTAGAACAACTTTTTCTATATTTACATCTGATTAATCAAATATTATACAACACTGAAATAATTACTAAGATTTCTTTTTTAACCCTTGTAAATAAAATCTAAGGCAATATCTTTCCATTGGACAATTAAGAGCAATGTACCAATGCATTATAACTTGTATCATTAAAATACCAGTACATCATTTGTACAGTGTTGTACATATGTATGTTATAACCCTCTTTCAATATTCTTTTTAAGTGACTATCTGTATCTTTAAAAAAAAAATATGAAAAGTTGATATAATTCAAATAAAGTGCAGTTTTTAAAAGGTGTGGCTTGCTGATGCATCTGAAGACATAACAACAGTGTGGATGAAGTTTATTATTTACATGTACATCATAGATCAACACAACTTCTTTGTCTTTAAAAAAAATAAAGGAAAATTAATATTATTTAAGAATATGGTTTTCACATAATTCTTGTTAATCCAACATTTATCCCACTCTTAGTGACACACTACGGGCATCATCAACATGTTACAAATGATCTGACATAACCAAGAACAGAGATCAAAACAATTTAGAAATTACTTTATTTCTGCATCATCAAATGATTTTGTTAATCTATATGTAATATTCCTTTTGTTTACAGCTACTTTCAAAACAGGTTTGTCTTTCACGTGGGTGTATCTTCTCCAATATTCTATCAATAACTCTCCATTTATTTATATTTTTTATTTACTTGATGAAATTATATTATTAAAAAAATTAAGTTTAAATAACGATTTATAAAATCCATTTCAAGTTATCCGCTTTCATTTGGTGGATGCAATGCATATTCAAACATGCTTGCATGCACCTATTAATTCATTTTAAACCTTCAAGCATTATACCGGTCTTTAAAAAAAGAAATAAACAAAAGTTAATTAAACAATTACCTGTACGTTTAAATCCTGACACAAATTGTATGCAATCAATCCAATAATATATGAAATCAAAGTTTAGTTACTCGAAAGTGTTAATTTTTCCTCGCTGCGATGCTGATGAGAAATCAGTAGCCACTCATGTTCTAAAGTACCGCGGCTCTGTTTCACCACACCTTGTGAAGTCAGGTATGACAATAATATTCAATGATTCAATAAGAATACCTTTACATTGCTTCTATTTTGGAACCCCTAATCGACTCATAGCGATCCAGGCGTAGGTTGACAAACCGGTTCTGCAAGCTTTGAAAGAAGTTCGCGAACGTTGTCTATTTTTAGCAACCAATGGCGTTAAAGGTAAACCCCAAAGACGTATGGACAGTGTTGTGCTTTAGTTTCGTAATTTTCATTCATCAATGTGGGACAGGGTTTGAGTATAAGTAAAAAAATATATATTTTTATTTAAAAAAATATCTCAACAACATAAAAAAATAATTTCACTAAAAAATTCTCTAAAAATAGTGTCCACACCATCAGGCGAAGGTGTGTACTACCCCCTCCTTTTTTTTTTACCTTATTTATAAATATTTATTATCATGTAAATCCAAAAAAAAAAACGTACTCAATATATATGATCAGGGACATATATAAGTCCCTGGTATGATTTAGCACGTATTTAAAATTCAGTTTAAAATATTAAAAAAAACTGCATTCAATACATGATACATAACATATTTTTGCCGATAAATATATAGCTATAATTTAAGTATTATGCTTGTGCATAATCAATATTAACATCTGATGACCCTTTTATTTCTTTGCTTGTTAGGGAAATTCTGAATTATTGGTATTGCCTCCCCCCTCTACTGAAAATGCTTTTTTGCCCCCCCCCCCTCCCCCAAGTGAAATTGCTCCCTAACGTACGGGCCTGAATAGGGTCAAAAAGAAAAGGGAACAGTGGCAAATAATACACAGAAACGAACAGGAATCCTCTGGGAATTTCTATTTTTATAAATAAAGTTTAAAAAACTAAGAAAGTTCAGAGGAAAGAATATTGATGGATGCATGTCGGATACAAGGTATGTTGATAATGCTGACTTTCAGCAATGGAGCAAGAACTTAAGGCGTAACCGTATAAAGTGCAAGGTGCTTGAAAACAGTGAAGTAAATTGGGTCTTAACGATTTTTAAACACAGCATACAGTATGTTCCGTATCATTTTAAAAAGAAAACGTTAAACATATTTATATAAGATTAAGTTGTGTTATCATTGCTCTCAAAAATAAGGGCCTTCTGAGCAGCTTTCTGTGAATAAATACGTATGTATGTTTTAAACATTTTTTAAAATTATAACATTTTTCTGTATATTTAGTAATATTGTGAAAGGTAGAAGTTGATCATTGAATTCTAAAGTGTAGAAATAGAGGGAGAGGATTTTGACAGTTGGTCTGAACATTTTTTTTTTTTAAAAAAGAGATCCATTTAAAATTATTAAAAAAACAAAAACAAAAAAGGGGGAAAAAAGAAAAAAAACTAACTTAGTCAGTATGTATGTATGTATACTTTTTAGTTTTATGTACACTCCCTTTTCCATGTTAAATTAAATACAGCAAATATTTTAATTTACATGTTGTTAATTTGTTACTAGATCAAGATGACCCCTCCCCCAGATTGTTTTTCAAGTGTCGTGTCAATGTTCATTTCTTTGTAAATGTAAACAAGAGGCCAAGGACCTTAACGGTCACCTGAGTATAATGTAACACTACAAAGGATCCATAGATTGAATATAGAATAAAACAAAACAGTAAGAGGAGGAGATTTTTATAGAAATAATGCATTTTTACTATATATTTAAAGAGTCCCATCCTAATACCAAATCCCTGACCCAGGGATTACGAATTTCAATCTCTTTGAAAAGTCACCCTTGCTCATCATAACCATGCAATTACATGTAATTTGTCTACTTAATACCCAGGGACAGAGAAGATTTTCAAAAAAAAAAAAAAAACAAAAAAAACCGTATTTTCACTATCTATTCAACACCCCCCTCCCCCACCTGAACCCCTGACTCCGGGGCCACAAATTTCCCAATTTCGGAAGGGGCACTCATTATCATTATAATCTTGCACTTAGTTCTTAATTTATTCTAAATACCAAGGAATATAGAAGAAGATTTTCAAAGAATTAATGCATTTTCAATATATAATCAATTGAGACCCATCCTAACACCAGAACCTATAAACAGTGGCATGAAATTCACAATTTAGGAAGAGGCATCCTTGCTCATCATAACTATGCACATGGTTTGTTTGTTTAATACCCAGTAGCAGAGAAGATTTTCAAAGAAATAATGCGCATAATTAATAGAGCCCCCTCTCCCACAGAACTCTTGACCCTTGAACCACAAATTTCACAATTTTGGGAGAACCACTTCATCATATCCATGCACTTACTTTATCTGCTAAATACCCGGGGACAGATAAGAACATTTTCAAAGAATTAATGCATTTTCACTATATAATCAAAAGAGTCCTGCCCTAACACCAGAACCCCGATCCAGAGGCCATGAAATCTACAACTCTGGAAGAGGCACCCTTGCTCATCAGTCATCATAACTATGCACTTAGTTTATCTGCAAAAATCCCAGGGGGCCTAGGAGAGAAGAATATTTTCAAAAGAAATAATGCATTTATACTACATAATCAATAGAGCGCCCCCCCTCCCGAACCTTTGACCCAGAAGCCATGAAATTCCCAATTTTGGTAGAGATACCCTAGCTCATAATAACCTTGTACTTAGTTTTTTCCTTAATACCCAGAAGCAGAGAAGAAGATTTTCATAAAAATGATGTACTTTCACTATATAATCATTACAGCCTCCTCCCACAGAACTGGTGACACTAGGGCCACAAATTTCACAATTGTGGAAGAGGCACTCTTGATCTTAATAATCTTGCACTTAGTTTACCCAGGAGCGGAGAAGAAGATTTTTAAAGAATTAATGCAATTTCACTATATAATCAATAAAGCCCAACCCTAACATCAAAACCCCTGACCAAGGGGCCATGAAATTCACAATTTTGGAAGAGGCACCCTTGCTCATCATCACTATATACTTGGGTTGTTTGCTTAATATACAGGAGCAAAGAAGAAGATTTTCATAGAAATAATGCACTTTCACTATACAATCAATAGAGCCCCCGGCAGAACCCCTCACCCTGGGGCCATAAATTTCACAATTTTGGAAGAAGCACCCTTGATCATCATAACCATGCATCTAATTTATCTGCTTTATATACAGGGGGAGAGAAGAAGATTTTAAAAGAATTTATGCATTTTAATTATATGATCATGAGTCCCACCCTAACTCGAGAACCCCCTGACCCTGGTGCCATGAATTTCACAAATTTTGTAGAGCGCTCAAATCTTATTACAATCATTCCAAAGGTTTGTCTGCTTGATGTGTAGGAGTAAAGAAGATTTTCAAAGATAAAACTAATTTTGATGGTTTTAGCCCCACCCCTA